ACTTTAAAGGGAATCTGACTGTGGAAACAAGACCAGTCCGGATCATCGATAAGATGGAAAAAGCAACAAGGAAAAAGGTGATTCCGATGGTCAAAGTCGTTTGGGAAAGTAACGGTGTGGAAGAAGAAACTTGGGAAACAGAGTATCGGATGATGGCTGATTATCCCGAGTGGTTCGAGGAATGGAACAAGGTTCTACCCATTAGCCCGGATTCGAGGACGAATCCCTTTCACGGGGAGGAGACTTGTAACGTCCACGATCCACAATAGGGTCGCCGGGACGGACCATGGCCGTGAAGTGGGGAATAATAACCGAGAATCTAAGGAAAATACGAGCCATGGTCCGGAATGATGGTTAAGTCTAGTTAATGTTGGACTTAGCCAGGAAAAAGGAGAGAAAGATAGCTTAGTAAGGAGGACCGAGCTAAAGATGAGTTGGAAAGATGACCTAAGCTAGCTGGACCAGCTGCCGGGAAGCTCAGTTCAGCTGGATTAAGAGTAAGCCAGTTGGTCTAGCTGAGTGACCAGTGAACTAGCTGGACTGGGGTGGTTATGGGCGGTTATGGCCGAAGGGTTGCAAAGTCTATGCGCCCAATCAATGCACCTGTTCGGCCAACAACTCGCGCCTGTTCGCCCAAAGCGGTTATCGCAAGAGAAAGTCTATAAATAGACCCCTTGGGCCATATTTTCGGGTACACACAAACAGGGAGAGAAACTCTGCCCAAATTTCTACCAAACCGTGAGACTAAGGCAATCCGAGAGAGGGAAATAACTTGACCGGCGGTGAGGAAACCGACCGGAGCAGCTGGTGCGGGTCGCGGAAGAAAGAAGAAGGAAAGGAAACGCGACAAGAACAATCGACCGCGGGGATACTAAGGTGCGTTCTATTAGTAGATGCGTATGGTTAAACTATCGCACCACCGGACGAACCGAATGATCGACCCAAGTATGGGCTAGGCCGATCAAACGGTAAGTCGCGGCTGAGGCGATAAGGATCCACCGAACGTGCCTGACGATCGGCCAAAGTATGGGCTAGGCCGGTCCGATCGCGAGCCTCGGTTGGATTTATAATAAAGGTCGCCGGCCATGGAATTGAGATTGGGCCGGCGATGATGCTGGATGGGTCGTATGGATGTAGGCCGGATCCGGTTGGTGCGACGGTTGAGCGGCTTGGGAGACAGAACGGATCTCGCCAAGACTCGGCCTGTCTAAGGCTGACCGATGATCCGGAATAGAATAGTTTACCGTGGGTTATAGTCGGGGTCGGGAATCATAAGCATGAAATGCATACATGTGCATAAATAATACTTAGCCAAAATAGCGAGTACTTATGATGTTGGTTTACAGAAAACGATGAACGCGGAAAGGAAAGAGGATAGGCGCACAGACCGTTTAGCCAAGGATGATGGGTGGTGTGATATAACAGATAGTTAGGATCATGTGAATTTATAATAGCTTATATGCAAACTCTTAAGTTGTATTGAATCCTTTATTATATCAATAAAATATCTGTTCTCTTACTTGTTTATTACATATTGACTATAACTTAGTGAATCTCAGAATACACATATCGAATATGACACAAACAAAGGACTTGACCCTAAAATTGGACTGATGGGGTCGGAGTCGTATAGCGGTCCGACCGGGAACAACCTCCATGGGCATAGAGTCCGGGATGGGGTGTTTCAGTATAACCCTTCACCACTAGACTTAGACGAATAGATTCCTTTCTGCTTTAGTTCTATTTCTAAAGAATATGCAGCTTTTGTGACTTCTTTGAGCGAAATGGTTTGCTGTCCTCCTCTGTACTCTAGAGTATGGACTAGTTGAGCAAACTGAGACGGTAAACCATTCAATAGAGTCACTGCTTGATCCTCGTCACTTAACTCAACATCTAAATACGCCAAATGTGAAACCAGCTTTTTGAATGTATCTAAATTCTTGTCAAGATTTTTTCCCTCCTCCATCTTGAAACTATAGAACCTTTGCTTCAAGTAGAACCTATTTGGGAGTGACTTGTCCTGATACAACGACTCCAGGGAATCCCACATAGATTGAGCAGTCTTGTGTTTCATTCCAACCTTTCGAAGCACCATGTCTGACAAGCTCATACTTAGTAAATTTCTAACTCTTTGATCCTTTTCTATTTTCTTAGGATCTACTGCCTTCGAATCATCCCCATCGAGTCCTTTTCCCTTCAGATCTGGTGTTGAAGAGTCACAATTCACCTGAAGAACCGAGTCGAGACCTAGAATCTCGAGCTGAGCTAGAACTCTATGTTTCCAGATAGTGTAATCACCTTCTCCATCAAATTTTTCAACCTCCCACCTGCCTTGAGTAGGCTCAACCATCTTCCTGACTTTGATCGTACGCAGATAACCCAACCAGAAGAAAGAATTCCACACGCAGACGAGAATACCAAACAGAACAATCACCGAAGAAGAGAAACCAAACGACATTCGACGAAGAAAACCAGAAACCCAAAATAGCACTTCCAGATTCAGAAACCAGGTAAGATGTATTACCTGCTGAATCAGTGCCTTCCAAAGAAAAAAACTCAGATCTGCAGATGACTAAGTAAAATACACTTTAGATCAATTCAAACCATGAGCTCTGATACCACTTGTAGTGATTTTATGCTAATTTTTTTATCTAGGATCTAAGCCATTCTACGATTTACTTCCTCGATCTAACTCTGTTTGTGCTCTGTTTTGCAGGTATAAACGAAATGAACGAGTAGACACACGATATACAAGTTCCCAAGGCCTAAATCACCGGCGAATGTACGTCTTGGAGAGCTAATACCAGCTCTCAAGGCTTTCACTAAAGATCAGAGTGTTTACAAGACACCAGAGGTCAATCTACAGAGATTACAACCGAGATTATCAAGGATAGAGAAGAAGGAAGAAGATAAGACCCTTTCTCACCCTAATCTCTTTAGCTTAGATCAGCGCTGACTCTCTGCTTGCTCACACATTCTTCTAGATCCTTCGTGACGTCCTTTATATGCTTGTGCAGGTTCCATCTCATCACTCCGAGCTCACGCGAATCTCCTGCATAACAACCTGATATCTTTTTTGACCTGAGTTGACTGCACACTTTCTACATTATGAACGAATGGGCTTCACTGATGTCTCTTCCGGTTTGGGGCTAGTAATACCAACCAAGGCCCAGCTCCAGCATCAGCCCAACTGCAGAAATGAGGATTGTATCTCACAATAATTAATTTATGTATATTCACATTTTCGAATGTAGATCCAAATGTGGATACACCCTAATCTCGGGTTCAAAACACGTGATTATTGGAATCATTTAAAATAAATAAATAACTAAATTATGAATTATCAACGACAACCACGAAAGCTTGTTGTTGTTTGTAAGCACAATAGTTGAGATGGTTTTGTTTATTTTGTGGTTGGCGATTGACAAGTGTTTAAGAGCCTCCCTAACATATAAAGTTTCAAATTATCGAAGCAACAACTACTTGATTAATTGATGTTCGTTAGCATAAAAAATATGATTAATTGAGGTGGTTAGTCTCTTTGTTGTTTTCACAGATTATCAAAAGGTCGGTTTTGCTAGTAGGGTGTATAAAAACACCAAACCTATACGATTTCAAATTTCTTATTGATCGACAATTTGCAAACCAAACATGAAAATACAACCATTCTTCTTTGTTAGTGTTAAAAGAGAGTCAAATGAGGCCAGCTCATTTTACTTGCAAAGAGAGGAACTCCCAATAATGTTTAGTTTTCCCGTTATATGTATCCTGACATTGTCATTTTAAATTAATAAAATAAATCGGATAAAATAAATCAAAAAGGTTATTTTTTTTTTCGGTTTGTTTTTTCGTCTACTGAATCTAACTTCTAAGTATATATCTCTCTAGGGGTTTTAATGTGTGAGATAGTGTACTGCAAATCTAAAGAAAAAAAGGTAGATAATATAATGGTATAGTGTGAGAAAGTTAGAAGTCTTGCGGAAACTAGTAAAGTCTATAACATATGTTCTTTTTCTTTTTTTTTTCATATGTCAAATTTGCTATGTACCAAAACTGTGAATGGTGAATAGAAATTGGACTAGCTCTTTCCATTGTCAACATTTAAAACTTTGAAAACATATTTGGTTTATGCTTTGTTTTAACAACGGCTTTGTTTATAGGTCAGTTTCTATTTTGTTCCCTCTTGTAGTTTTGCTGGTTACTTTGGAAATAAAGAAATCAGACATCCTCGTATATATTCAAATATCCTAAAGCATGAGATTTCAAGCCACGTTAGTTTATGTAAGACTTTGTTTGCACAGATTCTAATGCACACGAAAGGCCTGTTTTAAATGTTCTCTAAGTCTCCCGGTTTAACTTAAACAGAAAACGACCGTTGTGAATTTGAAACAAATATTTCAGCTTGGGTTTTGTCTTTGTTTCAGTTGTATTCTCTATGCCGTGAATCTAAGGCCGGTTTTCAACAACCTCAAAATGTTACAAAATAAGAGTCACATGGAATATGAATGATGAATGAGCCGGATTTCCCAAAGAACTGTCCACATTTAGAAATTTTACTCCTTGAGGTATAAGCACACCTCATTTACCAAATAGAGAGATTATTTTTTCAAGCCCTTAGACCACCTCCATGGGTGATACCCTATGGGATATTAAAGGAAAAATGGATTTAAAATTAGTTGAAAAATGCATTTAATCTTAAGAATCATTTGTAAAGATCGATCTTAATGAGTCTCTTAATCAAGTGTCGTGTTAATTGATTAGGGAAAGCAGCTTAAAATTTGGGCCTAAATATTAAGAATCCCTAGTGGGTTTAAGGGGTGGAAATGCTCTTATACTGACTCTTTTGTGCTTTCAAGGTCTTCTACACTATGTTATCGGAATCACATATTCGGTTAACAAAAGCAAAACGGCATTTAGCTCTGTCGTTTTCTAGATCTGTAAGCCAAACAAAAGTCAAAATCAGAATTAAACAATAACAAAAGTCAAAATTGGAAACCAAACCCTAAGCTTTACCCCCAAATCACTTCTCTCTCTCTCTCTCGAAGGGGATGATGGAAAGCGGAAACCATTTGGTTGCGTCGAAACTGATTCGAGTCTCTCTACACGAAGTCGAAAACCATCTCGAACTCTCGCTGCGTCAAGCTTACGAGAGCCTCGAGCCGAAACTCCGGCCACCGTTTTCCCTGGAAATCCCAGACCCGCAAGAGTATCTTGAGCTCAATAGAGCCATCGTCTATGGCGTTTTATGTGATTCCGATTCTCGTAAAACCCATATCAAGCATCTACACGCTCTCGTCGCTGATGGGTATGCGTTTTTCACTAGTTTGCTCGTTGGAATCGTCGTTGAATTGTATGGTAAGCTTGTTGATTCCGCTAAGGAGCAGATGATTTGGGTAACGAAGGAGATGATCGGTGTTTCGAGTGTTGGGCTTGAGGATTTGCTCGTGTATTTGCTAAGAAGAATTGGAAGTGGGGATTATGGTGATGAGAATGTTTGGCTTTGTTCTGAATTGGTAAGCTTGTTTCTTGAAGAATGGGATTGTTTGCTTGAAGATTCTCCTTTGGTTTTGACTAGTGCTCTGTATGGTTTTCTTCGTTTATTAGCGGAACATTGTAAGGTTTCAGGCGTAGCAAAGCTCGAAAATTTGAAGAGATTGGAGATCAAATTCTGTGTTAAAATGTTTAGAGAGCAGATGGATTTGTGTTTGAAGATTGGAAGAGATCTTCTCCGGTTATTGCTGGATCTAGTTCACTTGTCTGAGTTCAGAGAGATATGGAACGATTTGTTCGTAAACTTTGACATTTCGCGGATTTACAAGTCGAAAACTTCGAGTAGATACTTCCTTCTCCGAATCACTCCTGAGATGGAAACTCAACTAAGGTTCTTGCTTGGAAATGTGAAACTAGGAAGCCATAAGCGGCATCAGATATGGTTCTTGAAGAAGTTTCTCTTAGGTCCTGAAAAAGAAACGCTTTTGATCGATATAGTGCGATTCATCTGCTGTGTGATTCACCCGAGTAACGAAATCATCCGATCAGAGATCTTGCCAAGATGGGCTATCATAGGATGGTTTCTTGAACTTTCTAGGCACAACCAATACATCGAACAAGGCGTTAAGCTGGCTCTGTTTTACGACTGGCTCTTCTTTGACGAAAGAGTCGATAATATAATGAATGTTGAACCAGCTGCTCTACTGATTGCATGGTCAATACCACAGTATCCACACATCACTCGCTCTTTACTTGAGTTCTTGCTTCATCTTGTGGACACTCAGGACACAAACCATCGAGATTTGGTTGCGAGAGGTGTGGCATCAACGTTTAGAGAGATTGAGCGGAAAGGAGTTGTTCGATCGTTAGATGTATTTCTATCAAATCCTGCAGTTGTATCAGACCTGAAGATGAAGCTAGCAAATCTGTTGTCATCTCATGGAGAGAAGGTGGAAGTGGAGAGAGTTGACAAATGAATTGGGCCTTTATATGAAAAAAGAAAGCCCAAACTAATAAAACTTGGCCTTTATATGAAAAACTAAAACTTTTATCTCGTCTCCTCCAATCATGTCATTTCAAAATCCCATTCTTGCTCCAGGGTTCTTCTTCTATCTGAATCTGAATCTCTCTCTTCCTCCGTAAATTGTCTCGGGAAAATTTTCGGAATCTCCACGATTAACGAAGAAGGTGATTAATTCGTCTCCTTTTAGGATTTTCCTTCACTTTCTGCGATTATTTGTTTGGTCTGCTTCTCATGGCTTTTATCACCTCTCTTTCAATGTTCAGCAGATTGGATTTTAGTTACTTCTCTGTTGCATCGACTTCATTGAAAGAGAAAAAAAACCCAAATAATGCAAACTTTTAGTCAGTTAGGACCGTCGGAGATTTTCTTCATCGCTAGAAGAGCTAATCCCATTACGAGGTTAGTTATTACATCTTCACTTTGGTCCGAATTATTCGATCTCGATTAATTTGGAGTTGAACAAAGAGATTAATATTTACCCAATGCTTCGATTTTTTTGAATAAGTTTCCTCTTTCGAGTGTTTGATCTTATTCATGTGAAATAATTTGAATATCTCAAATCTCTGAATGCATTTGATTCTTAGTAATTGCAGGGCACAGCTTTGGTTCACGGGAAGACTCTCTTTCCGACAAGAAACCTTTGGTGAGTAATTCAGAACGAGTCATTGAAGAAAAGAATCTCATCTCTTTTTCCCAATCTAATAAAAAAATCTTGGTACGTTTCGATGTGTTTATAGGCGTTCGATTAAAGAACAGAGTCGAGTTTAACCCAAGACCTGTGCCTCCAAACTTAATTGCAGCCGAGAAAGAAGAAGCTAAAGCCGTTTTAACTCTCTTCTTCAAGAAACAAGGTCTTAGCAACAGTGTCTCCGTTAGAATAATCAACAAATCCGAACACTTCATTGACCATTTAGTCTCTAGACTCCACTCTGTTCATAAAGCCCGATACCTCGTAGGTTCGATCCTTTCTCTTCATCTTCTTAAAACTTACATCAGCTTGAAAAGTTTGATCATTTGGATGTTTTAACAGGAAGAGAGCTAACCACACTTGAGATCCGAGACTCTCTAATTCCATACCTCGAACATCTTCACGAAGAACACGGAGATCTTCTCTCTGATCTCGTCGTGAGCTTTCCTGATCCACCAACCGACCCAAGACCAGTTTCTTCTTCCTCTCCAGCTCCTCTCTCACCACCTCGTGGTCTCACTGATTCCGCCTTAGACACACGAAAGCTAAGAGCCGTGTCTCGCGTCAGCGAACTCGACACAGAAGGTGCATTACGACCTCAAACACTTTACCTTCTCGACCTTGGCCTAACCCTCGAGCAGATCAAAACCATCACTCGAAAGTTCTCAGCTTTCCCTTACTACAGCCTCGAAGGAAAGATCAAACCCGTCGTCGAGTTTCTTCTAGACCTCGGGATTCCTAAATCAGACATCCCAACAATCCTCTGCAAACGCCCTCAGATCTGCGGAATCAGCTTAACCGATAATCTCAAACCGACCATGACCTTCCTCGAGACGTTAGGCATCGACAAGAACCAATGGGCAAAGATCATTTACCGTTTCCCGGCCATTTTAACTTACAGCCGCCAGAAACTCACCTCAACGGTCGAGTTCTTGACACAAACCGGTCTCTCTGAAGAACAGATTGGGAGAATCTTGACCAGATGTCCGAACATCATGAGTTACAGCGTGGAAGACAAGCTACGTCCGACCATGGAGTATTTTAGGTCGCTTAACGTCGATGTCGCAGTTCTACTTCATCGGTGTCCGCAAACGTTTGGACTTAGTATCGAGTCGAATCTTAAGCCTGTGACCGAGTTCTTCCTCGAGAAAGGTTATGGTATAGATGAAATTGGGATCATGATCTCTAGATATGGAGCTTTGTATACTTTCAGCTTGAAAGAGAATCTGACGCCGAAATGGGATTACTTTCAGACGATGGATTATCCGAAATCGGAGCTCGTGAAGTTTCCGCAGTTTTTCGGGTATAGTTTGCAGGAGAGGATCAAGCCGAGGTACGAGCTGGTGAAGAGAAGTGGAGTGAGACTGTTGTTGAACCAGGTTTTGTCTTTGTCCGGAGTCGAGTTCGAGAAAGTCGTTAAGAAGAAGATGATGAAGAAACTTGTGTCTGATAATAATAACGAAATTGCTGATTCAGAGTAGTAGCGATTTGTTGTGAATTTTTTTTTTCTAGTTTTAGAGTAGGTGAATCAAGAAAACCCCTCTCTTCTTGAATTTGTTTATTAACTTTTGCGCAGTAAGAAAACTCTTGTTCGAATTTATTGAGGCCTATTAAAATTCAGTATTTTTAATTGAAGCCGACAATTGATTTTTCCCTTGTTACAAATTTGGCCAAACCTAATTATAAAACTCCTTAGTTCCTTTCGTTTGTTTTAAGGCGGTATCGTCACGTTTAGCCGTCAATGTCGTCACCGGAGAAGAAGAAGAGGGAGCAGACTCCAACGCAACAGTCGACTCCAAAACCGTCACTTCCTTGATATTGAGCTTGCACGCTTCTCTAGATTGTACTAGGCTCTGTTGTTTGTTCATTTGTCTAGATGATCCATTTAAATGATTCATTTGGATGAGTTATTTGAGTGATGCACATAACAAATGAACAACACAAACATTTAAATGAGAAATTGACAAATGAGCAATGAAAATGAGATTTTACGTTTTTGGCGAGAAAATGAGATTTTATGTTTTGATGGAAAACAAAATTTTATGTTTTCTACGAAATAATAAAATTTTATGTTTTTTGACGGAAAAACAAAATTTTACGTTTTTTGACAGAAAAACGAAGTTTTATGCTTTTTGACAGAGAAAAAACAAAATTTTACGTTGTTGACAAAAAACATGATTTTACGTTTTGACGGGAAAACAAAATTCGTTTTTAAAGGGAAATCAAAATTATACGTTTTTAACGGGAAAACGAGATTTTACGTTTTTAATGGGAAAACGAGGTTTATGTTTTTTAACGGGAAAATGAGGTTTTACGTTTTTAACGAGAAAACAAGATTTTACGTTTTTAACGGAAAAACGAGATTTTATGTTTTTAACGAGAAAACGAAAATTTACGTTTTAATGAGAAAACGAGATTTTACGTTTTTAACGGGAAAACAAGATTTTATTTTTTTGACAGAAAAACGAGATTTTATGTTTTTAACGGAAAAACAAGATTTTATGTTTTTGACAGAAAAACGAGATTTTATGTTTTTAACGGAAAAACGAGATTTTACGTTTTTGACGGAAAGCGAGATTTTACGTTTTTAACGTTAAAACGAGATTTTACGTTTTTAACGTTAAAACGAGATTTTATGTTTTTAACGGGAAAACTAGATTTTATGTTTTTAACGAAAAATGAGATTTTACGTTTTTTTTACAGGGAAACGAAATTTTACGTTTTTGACGGGGAAACGAGATTTTACGTTTTTTTACGGGAAAACAAAATTTTAGGTTTTTGACGAGAAAACGAGATTTCATGTTTTTTTACAGTAAAACGAGATTTTACGTTTTTGATGGGAAAACGAGATTTTATGTTTTTTGACGGAAAAACGGGAATACGAGATTTTACGTTTTTTACGGTAAAACGAGATTGTACGTTTTTTACGGGAAAACAAGATTTTACGTTTTTTATGAAAAAATGAGATTTTACATGTTTTATCGAGAAAAAGTGATTTTTTTGACTGAGTCATGTTCATCCAAATGCTTCAAATTGAATCAGTTGGATGAGTTTCAAATTTCTTCATAAATTTATAAGTCATCCAAATGATTCATCTAGATCATCTAGATGAGTCAATTTATGTAATTAAACAAACATCATTTGACTGATTCATCTGGATGATCCATCCAAATGAGCAACAAATAGGCTCCTATCCGACTCTGTCCCTCGTCTCCAAACGCTTTAATCTCTCCTTGCTTCACCGGAGCTTTACAAGGCTAGGTCACTCTCCGGGAACACCGAGAGTTGTCTTATGTGTGCTTAAGGTGTACTACTCATTCTCGCTGGTACACCCTCTGCCCGAAACCTAATCAAACCCTAACCAATGACAACACCAGTGAGGAGAAGAAGTCATGTGGGTATCTTTTTGCTCTCGTCCAAATTTCCTGTTCTCCTCGTGCTTGCTTTTCTGGTCTCGTTGCGGTTGGTTCTAATATCTACAACATCGAAGAGCGTTCCTCTAGCATCTCGATTCTGGATTGTCGGTCTCACACGTGGCGCAAGGCTCCATGCTTGCGGGAGAAGGTATCTCCACTTTTCTACTAGCGTCGTTGATCAAAAGATATATGTAGCAGGAAGAATCTGCAAAGGTGACTGCAAGAACTCGTTCGAGGTGTTTGACACAAAAACACAAATTTGGGATCCTGAACCCATCCCTGACGGCTACAGTTTTGTTTACCCCAGAAGTGCATGTATTGACGGGAAGTTCTACACGAATGCTGGCACAAAGATGGTATGACACCAAGGTAAGAAAGTGGAGATATGTGATGGGTTCGCTAGATCTACCTGAGTTCCATCGTAATGTTCATGTTAGATTGGCTGATCATGGTGGAAACATGGCGGTTTTGTGGGAAGGGGATTTGCTTAATTCTAGGCCTGGTGGCGGCTATGAGAAGAAAATTTGGTGAGCAGAGGTTGTGCTTATTAGGATCCTTTCGCATGAAATGCTAGGGGTAGTAAAGTGGTGTGGTCATGTGCTTACGGTCCCTAAATCATATGGTCTCGTGAAGGTTCTTGCGGTTACGGTTTGATGGATGGATTTGTCTCTTGTTTCACTTCTAATAATTCGATGTCACTCTTTGATTGTTAAGCTTATCTTGGTGACCAAAAATTGTTTTCGTGTTGAATAGACCGAGATCTCTTTACGTCATTCGTGAAAAGAAAATAGCAAACTTCGAAGAGTATTTGATAATTGTTTATAATTTTGAGTAGTTAATTTTTCAGCAGAATGAGGTTTTGTTGTAAAAGGTAAAACAACTTTAATTTGTTCATATATTCTTGCTCCACAATTACAGTTTTTGTGTCCTATCTTTTATAACTAGGGTCGCTAGTGTTTTTTTATCTTCATATTTTACGAGGTGTAGACGTAGAAGATTTGTGTATATCTTAATATGATTGCATTACTTCTATATAAAATGTATGTATTATATAAGCTTCATTCTTAGGAATATGGAACACGAGATCTTCTAAATCATATCCCCAAGCTCTCATCAATCCAATACGATTGACTCTATCACGTGTCTTCAAGAACACGAGATCTCCTAAATGACTTGATCACTTGATTTTGTTGTTAAAAGAAAACATATATTACCACAAATGGAGGATAGTGTAAGAAATCATCAACGAACAAACATGGTTTGAATATGTAATCATCAACGAAGAAACATGGATACCCAAAATACCTGAGATATTATTACATATTTTCAAAATATTAGTTATATTTAAAAGTAAAAAACCATTAATATATTAGTTATGTGTAGACCAAAATAACCGCAATATCCTCAATTATACTCTTTCCGTTTTAATATAAGTTATTATTGATGTTTTTACTTGTTTCACAATATAAATTGTTTTCAAAATTTTATGCAATACTTATGGGAAATTGTGTTACCAATTATATTTTACAATAACTTTTATGATTGGTTGGATTATTTTTAATTTATTAAATAATACTTGTTAAAGAAGAAAAGTAATTTTCTTTATTTTGGTGCTTTTAACCAAAACAATTTATATGTATTTTAAAATTTGTCTAAAACCAAAAAAAGTATACCGAAATATGAAAGAAAAAATAAATCAAACCCGAATGCACAGGTCTATTGCACAATATGAAATGTATTGTTAAATTTATAGAGGCTTATTAAAAAGTCAGTATATATAATTGAAGCCCAGCACAAGTGCAAAACACCATAATTCCATAGGTTTGTTTTAAGCTTAAACCTAAGGGGATCACGTCACGTTAATTACGTCAATGTCTTCACTAGAGGAGAGGAAGTCGACAACGACGGAGAAGAAGAAAGAGCCGTCGCAGTTGCCGATTCCGGAGAAACAGTTGACCCCAAATCTGTCACTTCCCGATGATTTTCTAGTGAGCTGCTTCGCACGCGTCTCTAGATTGTACTATCCCACTCTCTCTCTCGTCTCCAAGCACTTTCGATCTCTCCTTGCTTCGCCGGAGCTTTACAAAGCCAGGTCACTCTTGGGACACACCGAGAGTTGTCTCTATGTGTGCTTAAAGTTCCATCCTGGCCTTTATCCTCGCTGGTACACCCTGTGCAGGAAACCTAATAAAACCCTAACCAATGACGACATCAGTGAGAAGGCGAAGTCAAGTGGGTATGTTTTGGCTCCTGTCCAAATTCCCCGTTCTCCTCCTGCTTGCTTTTCTGGTCTCGTTGCGGTTGGTTCTAATATCTACAACATTGAAGAGCGCTCCTCTTGGATTTCGATTCTAGAGTGCACTTCTCACACGTGGCGCGAGGCTCCAAACTTGCGGGAGAAGCTAACGTCACTTTCTGCTAGCGTTGTTGATCAAAAGATTTATGTAGCAGGAAGTAACCGCAAATTTGGCTGTGGCTTGAAGAACTCGTTGGAGGTGTTCGACACAAGAACACAAACTTGGGATCTTGACCCCATCCCTTGCAGCGAGACGAAATACGAATTTGTTAATCACAGAAGCGCCTGCATTGACGGGAAGTTCTACGTGAATGCTGGTGCAGAGACAGTTGCTTACGATTCCAAGGAAGGTAGGTGGGATCTGGAGGGAGGAGATATGAATGATCATATGCAACTTGATTCTTATTGCGAGATAGATAACGTTTTGTACTCTGTGTCTTTCGGAGAGTTGAGATGGTATGACAATCAGGTAAAAGAGTGGAGATATGTGATGGGTTTGCTAGATCTACCTGAGTTCCATCGTAATGTTCATGTTAGATTGGCTGATCATGGTGGAAACATGGCGTTTATGTGGGGAGGGGATTTGTTTGATTCTAGGCTTAGTGGCGGCTATGAGAAGAAGATATGGTGTGCAGAGATTGCGCTTAAAAGACGCCTTTCAAGTGAAATTCTAGGGATCATTGAGTGGTGTGATCATGTGCTTACGGTCCATCAACCATATGGTCTCGTGAAGGTTCTTGCTGTTACGGTTTGATGAATAGATTTGTCTCTTGTTTCACTTCTAATAATTATTGATGTCGCTTTTCGATTGTCAAGCTTATTTTGTTGACCAAACATCGTTTTTTGTGTTGAATACACTGAGTTCTCTTAATTTCATTCGTGAAAAGAAAACAACAAACTTAGAAGAGTATTTGGTCGTTGTTTATAATTTTGCAGCAGAATTGAGTTTGTTGTAAAGGGTAAAACAACCTTTGTTCATATAGAGTGTCGCTAATGTTTTTCAGTCTTCATATTTTATGAGGTGTAGACGATTTGTGTATATCTTAATTTGGTTCATTAACTCTTGTTCAAATTTTATTAAGGCTCATTAAAATTCATTTTTTAACGTCTGCTTATATTATTAAACTAGTTAACTTGCACGGATTATATATGTCTATTAAATGTAATTTTATAAATAAATTTTATAAATAAATGATCTAAAGAGAATTATGAATTTTTCATTTTTGTTCTATGTATTTTACATCTAGTTTGTTTGTGTTACTCGGTTGTCTTCTGCTTTTAAAATTAAAGGCTGATTTTTGTTGGATTTAAATGACATATTCGATTGCTATATAGGGTGTATTATGTTAGACAATATTGACTCTCTACACTTCATATTTATGGTTCACATCGATTTCGATTCAGTTGTTATTAACTCTTTATTGTTAAGTATATTTGAATATTTTATGTCTTTGCATGTTAATGTTTGAACAAAGACAAAACAGAGTAGATAACTAAAGCGAAATACATCGATGAAGTAAAGCATAGTAAACACAAAACTATCTGTAACAACAAATAACCCATTCCTGTACGTCTCTAACATGCCTATTATTGACACATAAAAAATATAGTTAAAACAAATGTATAGATAAATAAGATTTGCTCAATTATCTAAGAACATAAAATATTGATAGTAACACCATATCTAGAAAAAAATATGATCATTTTGGTTCATAACAAAAATTAACTGGTTAATAGAGTCTATATAAAAAAAAGTTAGAAATTAAGTGGTCGGTGCTACATCAGCAAAAATTTATGCTATTACCCTTAGGGCATCTCTATCGCTGATCTTTTTAACGGGAATCATAAGAATATTTTAATAATTTTTTTAGAACAATGAAGAACTTGTATTAAAAACCGATCTCTATCCGTGAACCCGTAATTGGGGTTATGCGATTAAATGGTACGAACAAAATTTGTCCCCACTTTTCTTCATAGGCGAATGAAAAACTGCCATGTATCCAGTCATACTCTAGATTCATCGGTATCAGTGAGAAAAATACCGTATGACTGGATTTGGGCTTTTATTATTAATTTTAAAGACAAAAAATGATGTTGGGCCCACCTATCATACTCCATTCATCCTGCGATGGAGATGCCCTTACACCAGTTGATGTCATTACAATTTGTAGCTGCAAAAAAAAGGAATTAACCAACAACAGCATTTAATGCTCGTCAGTTGGGGTCAGAGATAACCTTGATAATTATCTCCTGGATAATGACACCTGTCAAATGCCATAAGATATGGTGTATCCAAGTATTATGTGGTAGATGACGATATAACAATCCATATATTATTGTCATCGTTTGCTAACTTTAATGTATATATATATATCCGATAACTATATATGAGTGTTATCGTTTGTCCAGGTTATGCTAACAATAATATGTAATACAAGTTAACATCTTATGTTAATATCTCTACTTGTTAATAATGATATATGTTAACATCTATACTTATTAACAATAATATCTAAATATGTTACATGTTAACATACTATGTTACTATGATGCAATAAAATATATGATACTTGTTAACGTGCTAACAAAATATCAGATATTTATTAAGATGTTAATAATAATACATAGTGTTTGTTGACGTATTATCCGATATTTGGTAGCGTGATAACAATAATAACAAGTAGTGTCCAAATGTTATAAGTACAATATTATTGTTAATATGTTAATATACTAGTTAACACATTATAAGTATTACATACTGTTAACAAGTTAACAAGTAGAGATGTTAACACATATCATTGTTAACATGTAATAATAAGGAGAATGGTGAAGAAGGCGAAAATTAGAGAAAAATGAAATTTTTCTCTTTCTATATTCTATCATTTTCTAGAAAATAGTTTTGAAAACCGCGAAGAGTTGCGTATGAGAAAGAGAAAATATCAGCTGACACATTTTAATATTTACTAGTCTCACGCAAAGAGAGAGATATTGCATGGATAATAGACATAAGGATTGTTTGAAGATTTCTCGTTGAAAAATGGCGTGTGAATAGTCCTCGATTGTGTTAGTTAATTTTATTATTATTTATTTGGTATCTTCTCATATACTCAAAAAAAATATTAACTGCTAATGATGATACCATATAATCATTAACCATCTTCACATCCAAGCTTGTAAAACTCAATATAATTCTCTTTTTACAAAACTTATGATCAGTTTTTTTTTTCTAGAAAATAATTTCCCATGAAATTTAGCTGATTATTGATCATTCTCGACAAACATGTATAACTAACAACAAATTATTCTATTCACCAGCAAGTATGAACTCAGAGAACCATTAATAATATAATCATCATTGAATCCTCACATATTCCATCTTTGATTGTTCTATTGCACAAGTCTAAAAAATTAACGTAAGAATGTTTTTATACCCGGACCGACACATCCGGTTAGACTGGTTGAACCGGGACCCAGTTATTATTCCGATTTGGATTTACTGTTAAAATCTACCAGCAATAGAATCGGAAAAATCCAGAAAAACCGCTATTAACCTGGAACCCGGTGACTCGGATGAACCGGTTGGGTGCTGGTTCAAAAAAAAATCATAATAACTAAGGAATTTGAATTGATTTTGGATTAAATCATTAAACTATAAGGTTTACACAGTTTGATACCTATTTAGAACTTTTCGTTGAAACTAAGAACAATTGTGTTATCCACCTCGAACACACATCATTAAGTTAGTCTCTTTTATAATTTCTTTTTTCAATTTCTCTTTTTCAAATATAGTTGATTGTCTGTTTAGGATCATAAATTTTGTTCTCTTTTTCATATAATTGCTTCAAATCAATTACTTCTTGGTTTGCTGTGTACTTTGAAAGTTTGAGTTATGTTTGTATCATCACCTGCTATCGTTCATGAAACAAAACATATTTATTTCTTTTAGGAGTTTATCCATCATCAATTTTGTCTTTATTCTCACATGAAGTATCCTTTGATAATCAATGTTTGGTTGAAGTCTATTGGTTTTTTTTTAACAGGTTATTCAAGATAAACCAAACAGAAAATTATGAAAATATAGCTGCTGCAAATCGTTCAATCCAAGGAAAAAATGATATTGTTTGGTCCTATGTGATTCAATCGAAGGATTCAAGAGAAAAATGGATTTTAGAATGTGGATTTTGTCACAAAAATTTTTTTGGAGGTAACATTAATCGGATGAAACACCATCTTACTTGTATTAATCGGATCCGTGGTTGACCCGGTTCAACCTGGTTAAACCCGTTAACCCGGTGATCCAAAGGATACTCCAGTTTGCTTTCTGAGTCGGGTATAAAAACATGAGACAAAATAAAATTTACTTACCTAATCCAAGATTGAATGAAAGAGCCTTAAACTATCAATTTATACCATTATACAATTAAAAATTATTTACAGAGTAGAAAATTAAATCAAAATTTAGTAAAATTGAGATTAAACCTTGTTATATAATTTAAAATTAGTACGAGATTAAAATAAATAATACAATTGATTTGCCAGCGGTTCGTTTTAAGTATACCAGACACATAAACACATCACAACAAATGAAAAATAAACACATGTTTTTGAGATAATTCATTAAAAAAAAAAAAAATTTGTAGCGGAAACTCAACACATAAGCAAATGAACAATTAAGTATAGATGGTAAACGGAAAATACAAGAAATTACAAGTCAAAGTCAAGCAGATGGCACATCTAATATAGTAAAAATTACATCAGAGGCATTAAAATTCAGTTTTTATAAATCATGCCCACAACAGTTGTTTTTTTCCTGCAAAAATATTGCCCAAAACTAGATTATCTTTATTTTTTTTTACAGAATTATAAAACCCCTTAATTCCTTACGTTTGTTTTAACTTTTTTAGCAAAAACCTAAGGCGATTCCGTCAATGTCGTCACCTGAGAAGAAGAAGAACAAAAAGAAGGAGCTGTTGCCGACGCCAACCAAAAATCCATCACTTCCCGATGATTTGCTAGTGAGCTGCCTTGCACGCGTCTCCAGATTGTACTATCCGACTCTATCTCTCGTCTCCAAACGCTTTCAATCTCTCCTTGCTTCACCAGAGCTTTACAATGCCAGGTCACTCTTGGGACACACCGAGAATTTTCTCTATGTATGCTTAGGGATCTATCCTTGTTTTCTCTGGTACACCCTCCGCAGGAAACCTGATCAAACCCTAACCAGTGACACCAGTCAAGTGGAGAAGTCAAGTGGGTATATTTTGACTCCCGTCCCAGTTCCCCATTCTACTCGTGTGAAATTTTCGGGTCTCGTGGCAGTTGGTTCTAATATCTACAACATTGAAGAGCACTCCTCTAGCGTCTCGATTTTAGATTGCATGTCTCACACGTGGCGAGAGGCTCCAAGCTTGCGGGTGAAGCTATCGTCACTTTCTGCTAGCGTAGTTGATCAAAAGATTTATGTAGCAGGAATGAGAGAAAAAGATGAAGGTTCCTTCAAAAACTCTTTCGAGGTGTTGGACAAAAAAACACACATTAGGGATCCTGAGCCCATCCCTTGCAGCGAGACAAAATGCAGATTCTTCTGCCCTAAAACCGCATCTATTGATGGAAAGTTCCACGTTATAAATGGCAGAGAGGTGGACCAGGTGGTTGCTTACAATGCTAAGAAAAGTACATGGGACGTGGTTGAAGGGGTGATGAATCGTTATATGCATCCATATTCTACTTATTGCGTGATAGAGGATATTTTGTATTCTGCTTGCTACGGAGTGTTCAGATGGTATGACACTAAGCTTAGAATGTGGAGATGTTTGAAGGGTTTGGTAGGACTACCCAAGTTCTCTCTCGATGCTCATGTTAGATTGGCTGATTATGGTGGAAAGATGACGGTTTTTTGGAAAGATGATTTGCCCAGGCCTCGTAGCGTCTATGAGAAGAAGATTTGCTGTGCAGTGATTGCGCTTGAAAGGCGCAACGTTTGTGAAATTTGGGGGAAAGTTGAGTGGTGTGATCATGTGTATACAGTTCCTGAATTATATGATCTCGTGAAGGTTCTTGCTGTTACTATTTGATGAATGGCTTTGTCTCTTGTTTCACTTCCAATCATTTGATGTCATTTGTTTTGTTGTTAAGATTATTTTGTGACCAAAGTTTCTTTTAGATCGTTTTTCTATTGAATAGACTGAGTTCTCTTTACTTCATTCGTGAAAAGAAAACAACACGATTTAAAGAGTGTAATGATTGTTTAAAATCTGAGTGGTTAATTTAGTAGCAGTACCACTATGAGGTTTTGTTGTAGAGGGTAAAATACCTTTGTTCAAAAAATTAGTTTTTGTGTCCGATGTATCCATGGGCAACAATATTCCAATTCAGATACAGTGAAGAATTTTCCTTATGTTGGAGTTTCATTGGTAGGGTGATAAGTAATTATATAGATGCATTTTCTTTGTTGTATTGTATGGTGATATTCCTACAATTGCTGAAAATTAGCAGTTCTAAAATTTGAATTTTGGCTAACTTTGTTCTTGTATGTTCTGTTTCTTGAAATGATGTTACTTCTATTCAGCGTTCATTGGCTCAGAGGCTTGATCTTTATGCTTATGGAATGTGGCCTAACCAATAACCTTCTTTTTATTTTCCAAAAGATATGTGAAGGAGTTTATGGCTCATATGACGTCATCTTTTGTGGATTTATCCAATGACAGTGACCTTAAAAACCGAAAAGTACAAGGATTTAAATGCTCAGCTTCAGCTACTGTCTCATCTATGCTCAAAAGATATGGTAACGTTCTGTTTTTGCACTCACTGTATAAACTTTTAGCACATTTCGCTAGTATTCCTAATCTTCTAACAAGTGGTACTACCTTTTGCAGGTTGATTTTTCATCTGACAAGTATTAAGACAGAGCACAAATATATCCAAGAATGGTTTGTGTAAATTCAACGTAAAACTTGTCTCCATATGATCAAGCCACTTATAAACTTTGAAACTCACTCAAGTACCCAAAGCTTTGTTTCGACGTAAGGCCTTGAATTTACCATTGACTAATTATAAACCTATTATAGTACTTTTACTGTTATAAACTTTTAACAGCAGTATTCCTCACTGAAGTTCGTGGGTTTCTGAGGACAAGGTGATCGAATTTTAGAACTAAAAAGGCTTTGTAATTAAGTGATATATTCATCATCTTTATTTGTTCAGGATTTGAATCTTGTAATGAAATCTAAGGACACATGCCGGTTCTAATAGAAAACAAATATAATGAAGATTTGTCATATTAAAACTAGCTTTTAAACTGTTAACAAAGATGGCGGTTGGACTGCCCGGAGATGGAGGATTCTGCTTAAGGAACGAAGCATGTTGACCAGCTTTAGCAACATCACTAGGGTCACTTGCAGAATATATTTCAACCTCTTCAAGACCAACTTTCCGCTTGATCAAGTCCATGTTACTCTCAAGAACTTCCATCTCTCCAAAAGGAAACCTCAAATTTAGAGCCTGAGTGCCAAGAGCTATTGCCTCATTCTTCTTGTATTTAATAAAAGGCATGCAAAGACTCTGAATTTGCTCGAAGTTTTTTGCTTGTCGATCCCTCAGCAATATCTCCGCTAGTTCTGCAAGTATCTCTTCGTTTGGAGGAAAAGAACCTGTCTGTTGGTCAAACTTGCTTTGAAGAATCTTAAGGCAGTGAGCTCTCCATCCATCAAATTGCTCATTCACATATACAAGGCCTTTCAGCTTCTTCTCTGCCACTGCGGTTACTTGCGCATTTTTTTTAGCAGCCTTCTTGGGACTGGGACGTAGAAGCTTTCCCATTAAGGCGATAACATCTTGCAAATATTTTTTAGCACCCTTGAGAACCAAATCTGGCTCATTTGATGTTGGCCAGCCTGCCGTTACCACAGAGCCTTCTTTCTTCAAAAGCTTCCTCCAAACATATTCTGCAAACTGGGGACAGATTGGTTCAATGAGGCGTGTTTGCACATCCATAAATCTCAGTACCAAGTTATGGTTCATGCCGCCACTGCCGCAAGAGTCTCTATACTCATCTCGAGCATTTTGTAAGTCGTAAAACCCATTCTTAAGTGCCTCCCGAAACAAACAATCTTTGTAGGCTTTTTCAGTCAATCTGATAGCAATGTTCATGTCGTTTTCAAACACCTTATCAGCATATGTAGATGGAGAGCCCATTCTCAAAGAGGACTCAGCAGCCAAGACTTCTTCCATCCATGTGAGCTCTCTTGTCAGACCCAAAATTGCAGCATCTGCAGTTTTAAAAACAAAATTTGCATCGTCAACGCCATCACCAGCATCAGCCAAAGCAAACCTTGTAGCAGTGGCAGAGAATTCTTCAATAGCCTGTCGCAGGGTTCTGAAATTGCCAGTTGACTTGGACATTTTTTCAGAATTCAGCATAATGTGGCCATTACATCTGGTGCCACGTGGCCAGTTACGATTCGCCATTAGTGCAGTGTGGTTGTAGATGAAAAATGTCAAATGATTCTGAATAAGATCTTTTCCTGAAACTCGAAGATCTAGAGGGTACCAGTAGTCAAATTCCTGCTTCATCTTACTTAACAGATCCGAGGGAATGTCAGATGATTTTGGATACTGACCATCACAGAAGAGATACTCCCAGACTTCATCATTCATCTGGTGAGGGAGAATCAAAGACTTGCTGCCTTTATACATGTCTCCATCGTGAAAGATATGTGCAACTGTATAATAGGCCATATAAAGAGAAGAATCAGATAACGATTCCACAAGGAACTGTTCGTCCCAGGGAATACGAGTTCCAAGACCAAAAGACCGTGAGCAAGCCCACTGATTGAGCCAGCTCAAAGTGTGCTCAAAGCCATTCCTTGTTTCTTCAGAATAGAGATTCATGTTTGATAAGCAATCCTCAGCCATTTTCCGCCACTCTGATTCCCCGTACGTTATGTACCACTGATCTGTAAGAGCCACAACACATTCATCACCCGATCTTGACATCACCGGTTTCTCAGGTTCACTGTATATAACTGCCTCACGAGAATCTATAAGCTTTGCCTTGATAATGTTCTTGACTTCTTGAACTTTCCTACCAACAAACTCTCCAACAAGCATGGTTCCTTCGGTGAATCCTTTCAGGTAAGTCAACCTTTTTGCCTCTGCAAGCTTCTCCTTATCATTTTGACTTTGAACTTTCAGATCCAAGCAGACCTTCTCGGCAGCCTTATCCCCAAACTCTGGAATGTTGATAATCGGTACAATCTCAGATGGTAGCCACTCATCTTTCACACCATACTTTGCTCGAAGTGCAGGTTTTGCATTTAGATCATGTAAAGCCATGTAATCATCAGGGGCATCACTAGGCACGCTTGTGACAATTCCAGTACCTTTGTTGGTCAGAATGGTTAACATGGGCAGAGCATAGATGATCTCGTTCACTGCCAGAGGAGACCTCAAAGGGAGCCCAATCAGATCATAACCGGTCAACTCAACCAAGCAAGAAGGCTTGTGAGGGATCTTTGACAAGTTCTGGTAGGCAAGGTTTAGTGCAGCTCTCTCAGTAAGTATGAAGACATCGCCAGAATCATTGATTTCATAAGCTCCATATTTCCCATCAGGCAATACCCATGCGTTTGTTTGTCCATACATGGTCTCAGGCCTCAAAGTAGCTGCAGTCAAAAACACTCTCCTTCCTTCCAAAGGACTCAGCTTCAGAGGAAATGGCTTCAGTACTTGCATTTTAATAAGAGTGTACTCTTGAGGCTGAACACCTTCACCGGTAGCACGGTCGTGATCAGCACAAGGTTGCTTATCTAAAGGTGAGAAAATCGTGTACCTCCGGTCTTTGACAATCTTTCCCATAGATTTAAGCTTCCTCATCTGCCACCTCACGAAGGCATCGAAAAAGGGATTAACATCAGTGGTCACGAACGACCGTCTCCAGTCACAATCCAATCCATATGCCCTGAGGTCTTCAACAGCCAATGGCGGGAAGTAGTACAACCATTCGTATGGATCTTGGAACTTTGCTATCTCACTGTCAGTGAGTCCAAAGCGGCGCATAATCTCCCACTGGTAAACCTGTCCACATGATTTCGCAGCCACCTTTGACTTCTTTCCCCTGAAGTTATCAGGTAACGCTGGTGTATCCTCCTCAGCTTTGGGAGCTTGTTTGGTGTTGTCTTCAGCAGTGAACACAGGAGGGTTTCCGAACTGCTGGATCTCACGAGAGAGCTTATCCGCAGAAGCTTTAATTGGCATACCAGTGCAGTGGAAGCCAAATGGAAGAAGAACATTGGCACCTCTCAGTCTATGATAAGCAGAAGCAAAATCAACCTTGGAGAGTGAGAAGGCATGCCCAATATGTAGATAACCATTCATATACGGGAAAGGAAAGGTTGAGAAGAACTTTTCTCCTGGTTTTGGAACTTCCTTACGAGACTCAGCCCTGAACACCTCCTCATCTTCCCACCATTTACGAGCCGCCACCTCAATCTCCAGAAGACGATATCTCCTCGCGTGTGCCATTCCGTGACAGTGACTGCCGGAAACCAAAACCATTCAAAATCCACATAAATATTGAATCAAAAGATGATCCGAACGATTGAAAATTGAATCACAGACAGAGACGATATGGGATATGCGCTTGAGGGAAAACAAAAGAATTTTTAACGCAGCCAAGGTGAGAACATTACCTTGAGTATTGAATTCCCAGGAATAATGAAGAATCGAGTCCAACGTGAAAGCAATTCGAGGTTTTGGTAGAGGCTGAGCCACAGTGGGAGATGAAATAACGAAGGTGATGTCTAGGGTTTTTCAGCATATGAAGTAATTGAAACAACCCTCTCTTTTTCAACTTTGTTAATTAGCTCTTCTTGCACGGCAAGAAATCTCAGGCCCATTACAATTCAGAATTTATAAACGAAGCCCACAACTAAACTATCCCTTTTCATTAATTTGACCCAACCCTATATTTAAAAACTCCTTAATTTCTTGCGTTCGTTCCTGGCGATCTCGTCACGTTAATCCATCAATGTCGTCACCGGAGAAGACGAAGAAGAAAAAGAAGGAGCTGTCGCAGACGTCCACCCAAATTCCATCACTTCCTGATGATTTGCTAGTGAGCTGCTTCGCACGTGTCTCTAGATTGTACTATCCCACTCTCTCCCTCATCTCCAAGCGCTTTCGGTCTCTCCTTGCTTCACCAAAGGTTTACAAGGCTAGGTTGTGAATTACTTTAATGCTTTCAATTATGAAATCTACTACCCAAGACCTACTAGATTTGATTTAATTCAACCACAGAAATTACTTGTAAATGAAGAAAGACTAACCTTGATCCATATCTTCAATAGGCTTCAATGTGGAATCAATTCATCAATTGACTTATCCTCCCTTTCTCCTCTTTTTTTTTTTTTTTAATGATTCTTCTGATGGATGAAGAATCTTAAACTCTTTCTCTTAATCTTGTGTTTATCGATGGATACCTTTCTAAAATGGTGGTTATGTGCTTTTATAATAATGATTACACCTTATTAGTGAAACAACACTAATGAAACCAGACGTCTTTAAATTGCACCTTTTCGTCTATATACATATATGTTATATATATATATATGTTGTACTTTTATATGATTATGTTTTTAATCAACCACACAATATATAACTATATATATATAAGATAAACACTTGTATAATTTAATCAAGGTAAGGGAGAAGGGTTATCAATACACCCAAATTCTAATGACTTTAATCGAAACCGATCCATCACGGTATCGTCTTTTATATTAGAATCTTAAACTTTGATATGAACTTGATCTTTACAATTAAACCGAAAGACACATAGGTCACATAAGAATATAAATATTCTTACATTCTCCCACTTGACCTTTGTGTCGACTTAATGGTTCAATAACTATAATGCGCGCCTTTATATCAAGTTCACTTGACCTTTAACTATCATAATAAAATCGGAACTGATCGAATCATGGCGGTCACACGTCATTGAACGACATGATTCCTTCCATGTATCACAAACCAATCCTAATTCTATATAGATAGTTTTCCTTATGTTGAGAAGAACCTTACTTCTCAACTTAACCATATGTTATCCATGAACCTTAAGTGTATACACATACTTTACTGATAACATACTTAATAAAACAGAAACATAACTTTAAGTGAATTCATAGTAGTGTCACACACCTAATGAGCAAACCATAATCAATACAGCAATGTCTTATCTATAATACCCATACGCTCTACATGGCCAATGAACGCCTTCGGTGGTAATCCTTTCGTTAACGGATCCGCAACCATCATATCCGTTCTTATGTGCTCAAAAAACACTCTACGTTTCTGTACTTCTTCTTTGACAGACAAGTACTTTAACTCCATGTGCTTAGCACCCTTCGAGTACTTGTCATTCTTTGAAAAGAAGACAGCTGCGGAATTATCACAATAAATTCTCAGCGGCCTCTCTATACTGTCAACAATCCGAAGCCCTGAGATAAAGTTCCGCAGCCACAATGCATGAATTGTGGCCTCAAAACATGCCACAAATTCGGCCTCCATAGTGGAAGTAGCAATGACAGACTGCTTCCCACTTTTCCTTGATATTGCTCCTCCAGCTAATAGGAACAAATAGCCAAACGTCGATTTCCTGCTATCGACGCACCCGACATAGTCTGAATCTGAATATCCAATGACCTCTAGCTGGTCGGATCTCCTATATGTAAGCATGTGCTCTTTGGTGCCTTGCAAGTACCTGAGAACCTTCTTTGCATCTTTCCAGTGGTCCATTCCGGGAATACTTTGATATCGACCCAACATACCAACAGCAAAGCTGATATCTGGTCGAGTACATGTCTGAACATAGTTCAAACTTCCAACCACTGATGCATATGGAATTTTTTCCATTTCCTTACGCTCCAATTCATTTTTAGGACATTGCATTTTACTGAACTTGTCCCCCTTCTGAATTGGAGCTATCCCTGCGAAGCATTTATCCATTTTATATCTCTCTAAGACTTTATTGATATATCCTTTCTGAGACAAGCTTAACAGTCCTTGTGATCTATCTCGAAGAATTTCTATTCCGATCACATAAGATGCCTCACCCATATCTTTCATTTCAAAGTTCTTAGAGAGATACTTCTTTACATCATGTAGCATGCCCATGTCATTTGCAGCAAGCAAAATATCATCAACATATAGGACTAAAATCACAAATTTGCTCCCACTGACCTTAATGTAGATACAGCGATCAACAATGATCTCTACAAAACCGTATGACGTGATGGTATCATTAAACTTTAGGTACCATTGTCTAGAAGCTTGTTTTAGTCCATATATTGATTTTCTCAGCTTACATACCAGATGTTCTTTTCCTGTGGCCACAAACCCTTCAGGTTGGTCCATATATACTTCTTTCTCAAGCTCTCCATTCAGAAAGGCGGTTTTCACATCCATTTGGTGAAGCTCGAGATCATAATGAGCCACCAAAGCCAAAACAATCCTTAGAGAATCCTTCTTTGAAACCGGAGAAAAGGTCTCTTTGTAGTCGATGCCGTCTTTTTGGGTGAAACCTTTAGCAACAAGGCTAGCCTTGTACCTTTCAATGTTACCTTTCGAGTCGCATTTAGTCTTAAAGACCCATTTAGATCCAACGGTTTTGAAACCGTTAGGCAACTCTACTAAGTCCCATACTTTGTTATCATCCATAGACTTTATCTCTTCTTTTGAAGCAATCAACCACTTTTCAGAATTGTCACTTTCCATGGCTTTCTGGAATGACTTCGGGTCTTCATCAATGCTTATGTCACATTCACTTTCAATAGCATAAACCACATAGTCATTTGAAATGGCAGATCTTCTTTCCCTTCCAGATAGCCGTAATGGTTCTTGTGGTTCACTATTCTCTTCTTGAATTATGACTGGTTCATTAATTGTACTTTCAGCTAGTGGGGTTTGTACATCATTATGGTGTTCTATTGTGCCATTTAACTGTGATGCAACAATAGGAACATCAACCTTAGGTACAATACCAAGTGGAGGGACTTCAACTTGTATTTCTTGAATGTCAACCTTTCTTGGTTCACCACTCCCACTAGTTTCACCATTCTCAATGAACCGAGCATTACCCATCTCAACTATTCTCGTACTATGGCTAGGACAGTAAAAGGTATACCCCTTTGATTTTTCAGGATAGCCAATGAAAAATCCACTGACAGTCCTTGAATCAAGTTTCTTTTCATGTGGGTTATATAGCCTTACTTCTGCTGGACAACCCCAAACACGCAAATGCCTTAAACTAGGTTTCCATCCTGTCCACAGTTCATAAGGGGTCTTAGGAACTGCCTTACTAGGAACCCGGTTAAGTACATACATTGCAGTCCTTAAGGCATATACCCACAAAGAAAGAGGTAAAGAACAATTACTTAACATGCTCCTAACCATATCCATTAAAGTACGATTCCGCCTCTCAACTACACCATTCTGCTGAGGTGTACCAGGCATTGTATATTGTGCACAAATGCCTTTCCTTTCAAGTAACTTTGCAAATGGACCTGGACATTGTCCACTTTCATCGAATTTTCCAAAAAACTCACCACCTCTATCAGACCTCACAACCTTTACTTTTCTATCTAACTGCCTTTCCACTTCATCAATGAATACCTCTAGGACATTCACTGACTTGGACTTTTCATGCAGTAGATATGTATAACCATAACGTGAGTAATCATCGATAAAGGTGATAAAGTAATTTTCACCGCTCGAAGAAGGAGCATAAAAAGGGCCACAGATATAGGTATGTATTAACTCAAGAGGCTGAGTGCTTCTAGTGGCTGGTTTCTTTACAATATGCTTAGTTTGCTTTCCTTTAATGCAATCTATGCATACATTTAGGTCACTGAAATCCAACTGAGGAAGAATCTCATTCTTTACCAACCTCATCATCCTTTCTTTGGAAATGTGACCTAATCTTTGATGCCACAAGAAAGCAGAACTTTCATCAGATGCACTACGCTTTATGCCTCGACTTTCAATATTAAATAGGAATTCAGAGAACTTTGAATCAAGATTGAACTTGTATAGTGAATCAAACAAAGTACCACTACCATAAAAGTAATCATTCCGGTACAATGAGAAAACACCATGTCCAACCCTAAAGTCAAAACCTAAATTGTCCAATCTACTTACGAAAACAAGATTTCTAGCACATTCAGGTACATAAAGACACCCTTCAAGATCCAAATGACACTTAGTGTCCATGATCAATCTATATGTCCCAATGCCCTCTATTCTTGCCTTCATCCTATTTCCCATGAACAAATACTGTTCAGGTCCTCTTATGGGCTGGATCGAACTGAATCCCTGTTTAATATGAGACACATGAGTAGTGGCACCAGAATCTAACCACCAAGTATTATTAGGCACTTCAATAAGATTCAGTTCTGAGCAAACATAAACCTGATGCGTACCTTTCTTATCGAACCATGCCTTTCTTTTCGGACAATCTTTCTTGAAGTGTCCCATTTGCTTGCAAAAGAAACACTTCTTTTCCTTATGGATTTTGTTTTCAGGTCCTTTCATGAAAGCCTTTCCTTTGTCCTTTCTACTTGGTTTTCCTTTATTGCTGCTGGCACTTCCATGACCTACGAGGTTTGCAACTTGATCCTTCATCTTCTTTAATCTCCCTTCCTCTTGAACCAGCATAGCCTTTAATTCCTTAAAGTTCCACTTATCCTTAATGGTGTTGTAATTCACCTGGAACTGGCTAAAATCAAAAGGTAGAGAGTTCATGATGAATTGGACCAAGAACTGTTCATGAACCTCCATTCCCAAGGTCGTTAACTTTGCTGCCAAGTTAGACATGTGCGTCACATGATCATGGATTGGCTGAGACCAGTCAAACTTTCTTGTAGTAAGCTCGTTCATTAAGCTTCCTACAATTGACTTGTCAGCCAAATCCGAGTGGGAACACTCCTTAATTTTCTGTAAGAATTCCCTTGCTTTCTCTGTCTTAGGCATTGATGGCTTAATACTTTCCACCATCGTCATCTTCATGAGGTTCAAACTCAGCCTGTTAGATCGCTCCCATCTCTCATATCGAGACTTTTCAGATTCGGAGCTATCTTCTGTAATGGCTGAGGGCTCCTCATCAGTTAATATGGCAGAGTCCAATGCCATAACTCCCAGTGTAAACCGGATCTGTTCGGACCATTCCCCATAATTAAGCCCATTGAACTTTATGACAGAGTTAGCAGATGCAAACAAATTTGATGAAGCTGCAAACATTTATACATGCTTACCCATTAGTGCTTTGAGACTTTAATACAGATTCAAAATCCGTAATAAAAACTTTAAAGTATGAATTTAAGCAACCTTTGGGCAATACTTAAATGCATACACTTTCATCGATGCTAAATTTAAACTTTTATAATTAATCAAATCATACGCAAGTCAAATAAGTATTCTACCTTTGGGTATGCATATTATTGACTATAGTAAGAAATGATTAATCTTTTTTGTATTACTAACTATATTCAATGATCAACCTTTGGGTGATCTTCTAGAATATAGATAGTAAAACAATTGATCAATCAAAACTTTAATGTCATTTATAGCATCTCTTTAATCATGATCAATTATAAATTGTATTACTTTTTAATGTATATATGTAATATAACAAGGCCACTTTGGTGACTAACATGTTATATACAATATAAACATTAAAATTTTAATGGATAAAATATATATATATTTTTTATTGTGTTAATATTTCATAACACAAATTATCCTTTTATTCAAATGCACAACGGAAAATTTTAAATTACCCATGATTATAGATTCTGTTCACATTTATGAATCCACTCATGCAAATATTTTATGCTCTTATATACGTGTCTTAAGTTACTACATAAAAAACTTTATTATGCAGAAGTTTTATTCTTTCTTAAATAACTGCATGTCTTCAGTTTAATGGTGTTTTCATAAATTATGATTTTACTATGTAGAGCGACCTGAACAAAAGAACGGTTACATGCATATAACTTTTCATGCATAGCAGTATTATTGTTTATTCTCCAACACCACTAAAATTACGTTTCGAGTATGCCTTACACGTGCATGCAGTTTTGTTTAATTATGCATGCAAACTTCAAGAATTATGCCGATATGCATGCGATCATGAGAACAAAAACCTTTTCATGCATAAACGGTTACTTTATTAACGGCGTTATTACTATTCTTCTACTTTCCAATTGTGATTTGATCCACAAAATAGAACATGTAGTAACCGTCAACAATAAACCCAGAATTTCTAAATGATGCAGTAAAATGGTGTTCATGCGTCTTTTCATTATTATATATACAAGCCCATACATGCATATATAAATTCAGATTCATGCGACAATGAATCTTGATCCAGTAAGCATAACAATTTATGGAACAAGTCTTACGTTCATGGTTGCACGATCAGAATTCGATTATGTTTTGTTCATGAACACATATTTTAATTGGTGAATAAATTAAACCTAGTTTGGCTCTGATACCACATGTGAATTACTTTAATGATTTCAATTATGAAATCTACTTCCTAAGACCTACTAGATTTGATTTAATTCAACCACAGTAATTACTTGTAGATGAAGAAAGACTAACCTTGATCCATATCTTCAATAGGCTTGAATGTGGAATCAATTCATCAATTGACTTATCCTCCCTTTCTCTTCTTTTTTTTTTAATAATTCTTCTGATGGATGAAGAATCTTAAACTCTCTCTCTTAATCTTGTGTTTATCGATGGATACCTTTCTAAAATGGTGGTTATGTTCTTTTATAATAATGATTACACCTTATTAGTGAAACAACACTAATGAAACCACACGTCTTTAAGTTGCACCTTTTCGTCTATATACATATATGTTATATATATATATGTTGTACTTTTATGTGATTATGTTTTTAATCAACCACACAATATATAACATACATATATATATAAGATAAACACTTGTATAATTTAATCAAGGTAAGGGAGAAAGGTTATCAATACACCCAGATTCTAATGACTTTAATCGAAACCGATCCATCACGGTATCGTCTTTTATATTAGAATCTTAAACTTTGATATGAACTTGATCTTTACAATTAAACCGAAAGACACATAGGTCACATAAGAATATAAATATTCTTACATAGGTCACTCTTGGGAAACACCGAGAATATTCTCTATGTGTGCTTAGACCTATATCCTTGTTCTCGATGGTACACTCTCTGTCAAACCCTAACCAATGACACCAGTGAGGAGAAGAAGTCCAGTGGGTATGTTTTGGCTCCCCTCGCGATTCCCCATTCTCCTCATGCTCGCCCTTCGGGTCTCGTGGCGGTTGGTTCAAATATCTACAACATTGAGCACTCTTCTTGTGTGTCGATTCTGGATTGTCGGTCTCACACGTGGAGCGAGGCTCCATGCTTGCGGGAGAAGGTATCTTCACTTTCTGCTAGCGTCGTTGATCAAAAGATTGATGTTGCAGGAAGAATCTGCAAAGGTCCCTATTACTGCAAGAACTCGTTCGAGGTATTCGACACAAAAACACAAATTTGGGATCCTGACCCCATCCCTTGCGAATACAGTTTTGTGAACCCCAGAAGTGCATGTATTGACGGGAAGTTCTATGTGAATGCTGGCACAAACGTGGTTCCTTACGATTCCAAGGAAGGTAGGTGGGACCTGGATAGAGGAAATATGAATGATCATATGCATTTTGATTGTTATTGCGAGATAGAGAACGTTCTCTACTCTGCTTATTATGGAGTGTTGAGATGGTATGAATATAAATATTCTTACATTCTCCCACTTGACCTTTGTGTCGACTTAATGGTTCAATAACTATAATGCGCGCCTTTATATCAAGTTCACTTAACCTTTAACTATCATAATCAAATCGGAACTGATCGAATCATGGCGGTCACACGTCATTGAACGACATGATTCCTTCCATGTATCACAAACCAATCCTAATTCTATATAGATAGTTTTCCTTATGTTGAGAAGAACCTTAATTCTCAACTTAACCATATGTTATCCATGAACCTTAAGTGTATACACATACTTTACTGATAACATACTTAATAAAACAGAAACATAACTTTAAGTGAATTCATAGTAGTGTCACACACCTAATGAGCAAACCATAATCAATACAGCAAGGTCTTATCTATAATATCCATACGCTCTACATGGCCAATGAACGCCTTGGGTGGTAATCCTTTCGTTAACGGATCCGCAACCATCATATCCGTTCTTATGTGCTCAAAAAACACTCTACGTTTCTGTACTTCTTCTTTGACAGACAAGTACTTTAACTCCATGTGCTTAGCACCCTTCGAGTACTTGTCATTCTTTGAAAAGAAGACAGCTGCGGAATTATCACAATAAATTCTCAGCGGCCTCTCTATACTGTCAACAATCCGAAGCCCTGAGATAAAGTTCCGCAGCCACAATGCATGAATTGTGGCCTCAAAACATGCCACAAATTCGGCCTCCATAGTGGAAGTAGCAATGACAGACTGCTTCCCACTTTTCCTTGATATTGCTCCTCCAGCTAATAGGAACAAATAGCCAAACGTCGATTTCCTGCTATCGACGCACCCGACATAGTCTGAATCTGAATATCCAATGACCTCTAGCTGGTCGGATCTCCTATATGTAAGCATGTGCTCTTTGGTGCCTTGCAAGTACCTGAGAACCTTCTTTGCATCTTTCCAGTGGTCCATTCCGGGAATACTTTGATATCGACCCAACATACCAACAGCAAAGCTGATATCTGGTCGAGTACATGTCTGAACATAGTTCAAACTTCCAACCACTGATGCATATGGAATTTTTTCCATTTCCTTACGCTCCAATTCATTTTTAGGACATTGCATTTTACTGAACTTGTCCCCCTTCTGAATTGGAGCTATCCCTGCGAAGCATTTATCCATTTTATATCTCTCTAAGACTTTATTGATATATCCTTTCTGAGACAAGCTTAACAGTCCTTGTGATCTATCTCGAAGAATTTCTATTCCGATCACATAAGATGCCTCACCCATATCTTTCATTTCAAAGTTCTTAGAGAGATACTTCTTTACATCATGTAGCATGCCCATGTCATTTGCAGCAAGCAAAATATCATCAACATATAGGACTAAAATCACAAATTTGCTCCCACTGACCTTAATGTAGATACAGCGATCAACAATGATCTCTACAAAACCGTATGACGTGATGGTATCATTAAACTTTAGGTACCATTGTCTAGAAGCTTGTTTTAGTCCATATATTGATTTTCTCAGCTTACATACCAGATGTTCTTTTCCTGTGGCCACAAACCCTTCAGGTTGGTCCATATATACTTCTTTCTCAAGCTCTCCATTCAGAAAGGCGGTTTTCACATCCATTTGGTGAAGCTCGAGATCATAATGAGCCACCAAAGCCAAAACAATCCTTAGAGAATCCTTCTTTGAAACCGGAGAAAAGGTCTCTTTGTAGTCGATGCCGTCTTTTTGGGTGAAACCTTTAGCAACAAGGCTAGCCTTGTACCTTTCAATGTTACCTTTCGAGTCGCATTTAGTCTTAAAGACCCATTTAGATCCAACGGTTTTGAAACCGTTAGGCAACTCTACTAAGTCCCATACTTTGTTATCATCCATAGACTTTATCTCTTCTTTTGAAGCAATCAACCACTTTTCAGAATTGTCACTTTCCATGGCTTTCTGGAATGACTTCGGGTCTTCATCAATGCTTATGTCACATTCACTTTCAATAGCATAAACCACATAGTCATTTGAAATGGCAGATCTTCTTTCCCTTCCAGATAGCCGTAATGGTTCTTGTGGTTCACTATTCTCTTCTTGAATTATGACTGGTTCATTAATTGTACTTTCAGCTAGTGGGGTTTGTACATCATTATGGTGTTCTATTGTGCCATTTAACTGTGATGCAACAATAGGAACATCAACCATAGGTACAATACCAAGTGGAGGGACTTCAAATTGTATTTCTTGAATGTCAACCTTTCTTGGTTCACCACTCCCACTAGTTTCACCATTCTCAATGAACCGAGCATTACCCGTCTCAACTATTCTCGTACTATGGCTAGGACAGTAAAAGGTATACCCCTTTGATTTTTCAGGATAGCCAATGAAAAATCCACTGACAGTCCTTGAATCAAGTTTCTTTTCATGTGGGTTATATAGCCTTACTTCTACTGGACAACCCTAAACACGCAAATGCCTTAAACTAGGTTTCCTTCCTGTCCACAGTTCATAAGGGGTCTTAGGAACTGCCTTACTAGGAACCCGGTTAAGTACATACGTTGCAGTCCTTAATGCATATACCAACAAAGAAAGAGGTAAAGAACAATTACTTAACATGCTCCTAACCATATCCATTAAAGTACGATTCCGCCTCTCAACTACACCATTCTGCTGAGGTGTACCAGGCATTGTATACTGTGCACAAATGCCTTTCCTTTCAAGTAACTTTGCAAATGGACCTGGACATTGTCCACTTTCATCGAATTTTCCATAAAACTCACCACCTCTATCAGACCTCACAACCTTTACTTTTCTATCTAACTGCCTTTCCACTTCATCAATGAATACCTCTAGGACATTCACTGACTTGGACTTTTCATGCAGTAGATATGTATAACCATAACGTGAGTAATCATCGATAAAGGTGATAAAGTAATTTTCACCGCTCCAAGAAGGAGCATCAAAAGTGCCACAGATATCGGTATGTAGTAACTCAAGAAGCTGAGTGCTTCTAGTGGCTGGTTTCTTTACAATATGCTTAGTTTGCTTTCCTTTAATGCAATCTATGCATACATTTAGGTCACTGAAATCCAACTGAGGAAGAATCTCATTCTTTACCAACCTCATCATCCTTTCTTTGGAAATGTGACCTAATCTTTGATGCCACAAGAAAGCAGAACTTTCATCAGATGCACTACGCTTTATGCCTCGACTTTCAATATTAAATAGGAATTCAGAGAACTTTGAATCAAGATTGAACTTGTATAGTGAATCAAACAAAGTACCACTACCATAAAAGTAATCATTCCGGTACAATGAGAAAACACCATGTCCAACCCTAAAGTCAAAACCTAAATTGTCCAATCTACTTACGGAAACAAGATTTCTAGCACATTCAGGTACATAAAGACACCCTTCAAGATCCAAATGACACTTAGTGTCCATGATCAATCTATATGTCCCAATGCCCTCTATTCTTGCCTTCATCCTATTTCCCATGAACAAATACTGTTCAGGTCCTCTTATGGGCTGGATCGAACTGAATCCCTGTTTAATATGAGACACATGAGTAGTGGCACCAGAATCTAACCACCAAGTATTGTTAGGCACTTCAATAAGATTCAGTTCCGAGCAAACATAAACCTGATGCTTACCTTTCTTATCGAACCATGCCTTTCTTTTCGGACAATCTTTCTTGAAGTGTCCCATTTGCTTGCAAAAGAAACACTTCTTTTCCTTATGGATTTTGCTTTCAGGTCATTTCATGAAAGCCTTTCCTTTGTCCTTTCTACTTGGTTTTCCTTTATTGCTGCTGGCACTTCCATGACCTACGAGGTTTGCAACTAGATCATTCATCTTCTTTAATCTCCCTTCCTCTTGAACCAGCATAGCCTTTAATTCCTTAAAGTTCCACTTATCCTTAATGGTGTTGTAATTCACTTGAAACTGGCTAAACTCAAAAGGTAGAGAGTTCATGATGAATTGGACCAAGAACTGTTCATGAACCTCCATTCCCAAGGTCGTTAACTTTGCTGCCAAGTTAGACATGTGCGTCACATGATCATGGATTGGCTGAGACCAGTCAAACTTTCTTGTAGTAAGCTCGTTCATTAAGCTTCCTACAATTGACTTGTCAGCCAAATCCGAGTGGGAACACTCCTTAATTTTCTGTAAGAATTCCTTTGCTTTCTCTGTCTTAGGCATAGATGGCTTAATACTTTCCACCATCGTCATCTTCATGAGGTTCAAACTCAGCCTGTTAGATCGCTCCCATCTCTCATATCGAGACTTTTCAGATTCAGAGCTATCTTCTGTAATGGCTGAGGGCTCCTCATCAGTTAATATGGCAGAGTCCAATGCCATAACACCCAGTGTAAACCGGATCTGTTCGAACCATTCCCCATAATTAAGCCCATTGAACTTTATGACAGAGTTAGCAGATGCAAACAAATTTGATGAAGCTGCAAACATTTATACATGCTTACCCATTAGTGCTTTGAGACTTTAATACAGATGCAAAATCCGTGATAAAAACTTTAAAGTTTGAATTTAAGTAACCTTTGGGCAATACTTAAATGCATACACTTTCATCGATACTAAATTTAAACTTTTATAATTAATCAAATCATACGCAAGTCAAATAAGTATGCTACCTTTAGGTATGCATATTATTGACTATAGTAAGAAATGATTAATCTTTTTCGTATTACAAACTATATTCAATGATCCACCTTTGGGTGATCTCCTAGAATATAGATAGTAAACTAATTGATCAATCAAAACTTTAATGTCATTTATAGCATCTCTTTAATCATGATCAATTATAAATTTTATTACCTTTTAATGTATATATGTAATATAACAAGGCCACTTTGGTGACTAACATGTTATATACAATATAAACATTAAAATTTTAATGGATAAAATATATATATATATATATATATATATTATTGTGTTAATATTTCATAACACAAATTATCCTTTTATTCAAATGCACAGCGGAAAATTTTAAATTACCCATGATTATGGATTCTGTTCACATTTATGAATCCACTCATGCAAATATTTTATGCTCTTATATACGTGTCTTAAGTTACTACATAAAAATCTTTATTATGCAGAAGTTTTATTCTTTCTTAAATAACTGCATGTCTTCAGTTTAATGGTGTTTTCATAAATTATGATTTTACTATGTAGAGCGACGTGAACAAAAGAACGGTTACATGCATATAACTTTTCATGCATAGCAGTATTATTGTTTATTCTCCAACACCACTAAAATTACGTTTCGAGTATGCCTTACACATGCATGCAGTTTTGTTTAATTATGCATGCAAACTTCCAGAATTATGCCGATATGCATGCGATCATGAGAACAAAAAACTTTTCATGCATAAACGGTTACTTTATTAACGGCGTTATTACTATTCTTCTACTTTTCAATTGTGATTTTTTTTTATCGAAATGTTCCTTCATTTGATTAATTCATAAGCGGCCCAAGAGTAGCCCGGATCTCAGAAAAGACCCACAAACAGTTTTTTGCTACACGATCCGCCAAAGAATTAGCTTCACGGGGAATAAACACAAAGTCCACAAAATCAAAAGATCTTTTCATCTTCTTGATGTCTTGTAACACACCGTAGATCTCTGCTATGTTGATCTCCAAATTGATGCTCTTGTTGAGATTTTCGGAGTCCGAAGCGATCCATATTCGCTGAATGCCTCTATCCAGTGCAGATTGAAGCGACCTTCGGAGTGCCAACCCTTCTGCAACCAGAGCAGAACCCACTGGTGCATGTGCTTCCGATCCTGTGAGGAGGGTGTTTCCCTGTTCGTCCTGGAGAACCCAGCCTAATCCTGCGGCGAGAGTTGCACTGTTCCATGCTCCATCGACAAAACATCTGATCGAGTTCGTCGGGATTGGTGGTCTCCATGCTCTCCTCGTTGATTCAGGTATTGATTGTTTTACTGGTTGTGCTTCTTGCCACTCTCTAGCTCCTTTGACGATGTTGGATATTGTTTCTAGTGGAGTGAATGATCTCTCATTAAAGACTCTTCTGTTCCGTGATGTCCAGATATTCCACAGGATCCAGGGGTAAAGAGGTCCGCGACCAACTCCCGAAGGAGGGAGGCAGATCAGATGTCGCGAGGCTCTAATCCCGGAAATGATATCCAGGATCTGGGTTGTGTCAAGTGAGCTCGAGGTGGGGATCTGGTTCCATATTTCCACAGCAAAGGGACAATGAAAGAATAGGTGTACCTCTGATTCCGAGGCTCCACAGTGAATGCAGGAAGAATCCGAGATAACCTTTCGTTTGACAAGATTGTCTCCTAGCGGTAAGGCTCTTTTCACTAGTTTCCATAGAAACAGCTTTAATTTCTCTGAAGACGTTTCTTGCCAAATCTCCTTATTCCAATCAAAGTCTTCTCTTATATCTGTTGAGAGTGTGTTCATGATCGGTTGTGGCAGTGATGAATGGTATCCCGATCTTGTCGTGTAGTTTCCGGAGGGATGTGGTGTCCAGATGAATCTGTCTTCCACGTCCGTGTGGCTTAGCTTGATGCACTTTATCTCAGTTTCAAACTCGGGTAGTATCTCCCTGATCATATCTTCTTTCCATTCTTTTGTATCTTCGTTGATCAGGTCTGAGACTTTCAAATTGTAAACGTGTTCCAGGGCTGGCCCTATTGGCTTACGGAGCTGGGACGTGGATATCCAGTTTTCTTCCCATAGACTTGTTGTTTTGCCATTACCAATGGCTTTTCCCAACCTTTTCTTCAGTAAGTCACTTCCCACTATTATTCCTTTCCATCCGTGTGATGATGCATCTTGCAAATCTGCCTCCAAGAAATTAGAGCTCATGAAGTATTTCCCTTTTAGAATTCGGTGCAGGAGACAGTCTGGGTTCATTAGCATTCTACAGCTCAATTTGGCTAGCATTGCATCATTAAAGGTTTGTATCTCTCGAAATCCCAGTCCTCCTTCCTTTTTACTTCTCGCTAGCCTGTGCCAGGCGATCCAGCACATCTTTTTAGTATCTGGATCCGCGTCCCACCAGAATCTCGTTAACACAGACTGGATTCTGTTGCATAGGTTGATCGGGAGCTTGAAACAAGACATTGGATAGGTTGGCATTGACGATAGGACAGATTTGAGGAGAACCATCTTTCCCGCACTGGAAAGGAGTTTTGTTGATCTAGCAATTGCTTTCTGTCTTATTCGATCCACAATGGAGCTGAAAAGATCCTTTTTCTTCCTTCCAAAATGCTCAGGTAGGCCTAGGTATTTGCCTACTCCTCCTTCATTTTCGATTTCCAGGATCTGTTTAGCCCTTGCTCTTATAGCTTGAGAAGTTTTCCTTGAGAAAGTTATAGCTGACTTCTGACAGTTTATTTTTTGCCCTGATGCTTTCTCATATTTGTTTAGGATACTCTTCAATGTCTTACAGCTTTTGAGGTTCGGTAAGTGATCTTTTTCTCATCGTCAAAAATAGTAACCGTCAACAATAAACCCAGAATTTCTAAATGATGCAGTAAAATGGTGTTCATGCGTCTTTTCATTATTATATATACAAGCCCATACATGCATATATAAATTCAGATTCATGCGACAATGAATCTTGATCCAGTAAACATAACAATTTATGGAACAAGTCTTACGTTCATGGTTGCATGATCAGAATTCGATTATGTTTTGTTCATGAACACATATTTTAATTGGTGAATAAATTAAACCTAGTTTGGCTCTGATACCACATGTGAATTACTTTAATGATTTCAATTATGAAATCTACTTCCCAAGACCTACTAGATTTGATTTAATTCAACCACAGCAATTACTTGTAGATGAAGAAAGACTAACCTTGATCCATATCTTCAATAGGCTTGAATGTGGAATCAATTCATCAATTGACTTATCCTCCCTTTCTCCTCTTTTATTTTTTTTAATGATTCTTCTGATGGATGAAGAATCTTAAACTCTCTCTCTTAATCTTGTGTTTATCGATGGATACCTTTCTAAAATGGTGGTTATGTACTTTTATAATAATGATTACACCTTATTAGTGAAACAACACTAATGAAACCACACGTCTTTAAGTTGCACCTTTTCGTCTATATACATATATGTTATATATATGTTGTACTTTTATGTGATTATGTTTTTAATCAACCACACAATATATAACATACATATATATATAAGATAAACACTTGTATAATTTAATCAAGGTAAGGGAGAAAGGTTATCAATACACCCAGATTCTAATGACTTTAATCGAAACCGATCCATCACGGTATCGTCTTTTATATTAGAATCTTAAACTTTGATATGAACTTGATCTTTACAATTAAACCGAAAGACACATAGGTCACATAAGAATATAAATATTCTTACATAGGTCACTCTTGGGAAACACCGAGAATATTCTCTATGTGTGCTTAGACCTATATCCTTGTTCTCGATGGTACACTCTCTGTCAAACCCTAACCAATGACACCAGTGAGGAGAAGAAGTCCAGTGGGTATGTTTTGGCTCCCCTCGCGATTCCCCATTCTCCTCATGCTCGCCCTTCGGGTCTCGTAGCGGTTGGTTCAAATATCTACAACATTGAGCACTCTTCTTGTGTGTCGATTCTGAATTGTCTGTCTCACACGTGGAGCGAGGCTCCATGCTTGCGGGAGAAGGTATCTTCACTTTCTGCTAGCGTCGTTGATCAAAAGATTTATGTTGCAGGAAGAATCTGCAAAGGTCTCTATTACTGCAAGAACTCGTTCGAGGTGTTCGACACAAAAACACAAATTTGGGATCCTGACCCCATCCCTTGCGAATACAGTTTTGTGAACCCCAGAAGTGCATGTATTGACGGGAAGTTCTATGTGAATGCTGGCACAAACGTGGTTGCTTACGATTCCAAGGAAGGTAGGTGGGACCTGGATAGAGGAAATATGATTGATCATATGCATTTTGATTGTTATTGCGAGATAGAGAACGTTCTCTACTCTGCTTATTATGGAGTGTTGAGATGGTATGACACCAAGGTAAGAAAGTGGAGATCTGTGATGGGTTTGCTAGATCTACCTGAGTTCCATCGTAATATTCATGTTAGATTGGCTGATCATGGTGGAAACATGGCGGTTATGTGGAGAGGGGATTTGCTTGATTCTAGCCCTAGTACTGGCTTCTATAAGAAGAAGTTTTGGTGTGCAGAGATTGCGCTTAAAAGACGCCTTTCACGTGAAATTCTAGGGATAGTTGAGTGGTGTGATCATGTGCTTACGGACTGTAATCATATGGTCTCGTGAAGGTTCTTGCTGTTACGGTTTGATGAATATGGCTTTGTCTCTTGTTTCAATTCTAATAATTTGATGTCGTTCTTTGATTGTTAAGCTTATCTTGGTGATCTAAATTTGTTTTCGTGTTGAATAGACCGAGTTCTCTTTATTTCATTCGTAAAAAGAAAACAACACAATTTGAAGAGTATTTGATGAATATCTATAATTTTGAGTGGTTAATTTTTCAGCAGAAGGAGATGAAACTACCTTTGATCAAATATCCTTGCTCCACAATTAGTTTTTGTGTCCTATCTTTTATAACTAGGGTCGCTAGTGTTTTTTATCTTTACTAGGTCTGCGGCGCGCGGACACAATCAACATACAAATTTTATTATAATTTGATTTTAGAAATTCTTGTAATATAATCATCATATTTTATTTTCAATAATTGAGACTAAAATATTGTATAAACATAAATCATAAAAATACTAAATATTCATTACTATTATTTTAAATCGATTAATATCAATCGTATATTAGATTATTGAAAATCGTATCTACCTATTAAGTAATATTATAATAAACGACTATCAAATATAATTAGTAATAATAATAAAGAATAATTAAATTGTAGATGAAAATATAATAAAAAGAAATATCAAAATAAATAATAAGATCCAACACGCAAGTTTTAAGTTATATAAATATTTATACAAAGAAATTAAGAGAACACTACTCCATTAAGTATTGTTATATATATCTGGTTTAGGAGTGCCTTTTTATTCTTGTTACGACTTGTGTCTAAAATGTGCTTCACCTCTCCCGAATCCTGGAAGTGTAAGAGACATATACATATGTAAGGGTTGTTGTATATACTAAATTCTCCAATTATCATTTTCAGAATACTTACTTTCTCTTAAAAATCAGGGCATCATCAATGTTAGGATCAAGGAGAAGACAGGAAAAACCAATTGCTTCATGTGAATGGATAGTTCTTTCATCTACACGCATAAAATGATTTATAGGAAATATACATGCAATATAAAACATATATGGGACAAAATGAAAATAATAATGACATATGCTTGATTATCCATATCTTCTTTTTTATTTACACTCCAATCGGTTAAAACAGAAACCGCAAAATGACCAATGAATCTTTTGGTTCTTTTTTTGATATCAGCGGCAAATTTTCCATATGCGATACATTTCAACTTCACATCCCTTTGATTTAAACAATTTAAGTTACAAATTTGTTACCAAGACATAGTGATCGTGAGAGAAAATATAACTTACTCGAGATCTGTGATGGTGAAAGTTATTTTCTGAACAATCTCTCCATCAGGGTTATTTCTGTTTCAATGTTGCTAACATTTTCCATCACACCAATGAGATCTACAAATCAATTATGAGAGAAAAATTTATCATAAATGAACTTCATATATTTTTTTTCTATATATGTACAAATTTATAGATGAAAACACTAAAACGAATATTATAAGTTAATCTTACCAACAGGATACAACTGAGCGTAAGGAACTCTGTATATCTCACTAAAAGGGACAAATTTCATAAAGGGATCCATTGTCAATCGTCGTAGGCTTGAGACTTCTGTCTCAGTAGTGAGAACGATCTGATAATTGTGTCTCGTTGTCCTTCCCTCATTTTTCCATTCAAATGATATCAAGCCGAATTTATACAATTCAAACCACAGTCATTCAGTCCCAACACGGTAAAAATATGGAAAGGCGAGGTTACCACATGAAGCAATAATTCTGTAACCCTATATACAATGAATTTTTAAAAGATATCAAACAAACAATAAATATAGACAAAACAGTTATATATTCATATTAGATAATACTTACATTTTCGTCGACTAAAATGAAATTCATCCCTGGTAAGCCTTGTCGATCAGGTTTATTCCATCTTTTCAAAATTTTGACACGGATTTTCCAATCTCGTCTCGATGCATATAACTCATCAACAAAGTTATATGTAGCCATGGAGATAATGTTTTGAAAAAGTCAAAGAAATGGTTGGGAAGAAGGATTAGTAAATTAAACCGAAATTAGAATAAATTATTATTTATTAATAATTACAAAACAGACTTGTAAATACCAAAAAATGTGTCTAACAAAACTAATAATGCATCTGGATTATCAATTTTGAATCCTTATACTCGGTCCAATCCATTAGACACCATTTGTATCCAGTCCATCTAATTTCTCCCTAATCTTGAAATTTTAATAACAAAAAACAGATATACATAATATTGGCAAATTACTGTTACGCAATTTAGACAGATCTAAATATTGTTTTTTTTCTTCATAAATCAATTTAGATAACACAGAGAAACATACTTACCTATTGCGCAAGGTTAAAATTTCAGCAATCGGTGAATCAGTGATAAAACGGGACACACCATCATCATCATGATCCTTGATAGACACATTCTCTAATATATATATATATATATATATTAGAATATTATTACATTATATACTACGATTTTATAACTAACATATTGATATATCATCAGAAAAAAAACATACACCCGTCAATTGCTACACACCAATCAGTTAACACACATATAGCAAAGGGACCTTCATATTCTCTACACTTATCTCTTATTTCAGTTGCCAACTCACCGTGTGCAACACACTCAAGCATAAATTTCCTATATTTTGACAAGCAATGTAGTTAAGAATTAGTTAGTTAGACTTCAAACATATAGTTTGAGATATACTTACTCGTCATCTATTATCTTAAATCGAATTGATGATGAAGTCGTTCCATCCTGATCACAACGTCTCCAAGATGCATAAAAGCTTTTAGCCATCTCACCGAATAATTCACAACTCAAATTAACACTACTAAATTAAAACACGTCACACATAATCAGGTAGACAGAACAAATAAAACGATAATATACAGTTTAAAAACACTCAGGAGACAGTACCGTTTATCCCTCAGACAGAATGTTACAGTTGAATATGCACCCCATTTTTCAGAATCATATACATCCTTACATGGACTGCCATAGGAAGGAACAGGATGCTCTCCAGAGAGTAAACCACATCACGTCCCAGATCGACTTACATTTAAGACACAACCTATCAAATCTTCATAGACAATAAAAACTAAACCATATTAACATCAGCAACATAATAATAACGAAATTCAATATCTAAACCGAAAATAAACACACTAACTAAATAGTCATCATCATGGGCACGATCCAATATCCTTTGAAAATCAACGAAGTCGAAATAACTGTTTTCACTCCACGTGAAGTCTTGTCAATGATAGTTGATGGTAGGAACAATATTTTGTATCTATGAGAAATCAGTCTACAACTATCCTCACACTCGATAACAGAAAAACAACTGATAATAATCTAACTACCAACATCTATGCGAGACGCTGCGACATCGATCTCACCATCTCTAACAGTGGCCTGAATTTTAACACCCTGTGAATAAAACAGTCAATTAGACATCAACACAATTTTATAATATTTTTTTTCCATAATATAATAAATACTTGTTCATCCAATAATATGAGCTCCAAGGAAGAACGTTTCAAAATTAGCATATGGACCCACGTCTGTAAAACCTTAACAAAGATAGTACAACCATCTTTGGAAGGTCTCCAACGGGACACACACCCTCCAAAACACATTTAACCAAGAGAAACTGTATAAGTACACACCGAATTCTGGTGTCTCGATATACTAATATTCTTTTCGATGAGTATATCATTCGGTTCGACGTTTTGGTGATCCTCACTATCATTGTCACTCTCAGTCTCATCATCCAACATAACATCTTCATCATCATCCTCATCATCATCAGTCGAATCAGCATCGTCATCATCTTCATCTTCATCATCATCATCACCACTATCACCTTCCGAGTTATCACTTGAACCATCAGATCCTTCACAAGACTCACCGTCGTCAATAAAATCATCTTCAGAATCGTATTCATCTGTTTGGTTCATATCATCGGTATCATCGTGCGACTTGGCATCAGACCCCATGTAATCCTCAAAACCATAATCATCATCAGTACCACGGCCAGATAGCACCTCGGTATCATCAGACTCATTATCTTCTGCATAGATAAATATATGAAAAAACAACGTAGTTAGAATTTAAAAATAAATATTAAAAAAGGGGAAAAATGGTGCTCAAAGCAAAAAATGAACCATTGAAACCATTAGATTCTTTATTTATAATCCAAGCATTCCTTGCAAAATCCCAAAGAAAGGTCTTGTGAGCATGATCGCTCGAATTAACATGATCAGAACCTAAATGCACAAAACGAACATCAGAACAAACATAAACACATATAAAATTTAATATACATCATTAACAAAATGATATTACATGAAGAGGAGAAATACCTCCTTTGATCAAAACTTCTGATCAAGAATAGATATATAATACGCAGAATCAAGATCCATATAAAAAATGAATACGTTCGTAGATTAATATATAGTAAAGATACGAAATTGTAAGATTAAGATACAACACTACGAAAGGTACAAAATTGTAAGATTAATATACAGTACTACGAACCTTCAATTACAGGATTATATGTCCGCAAGGTCCACTCGTCGATAGCAAGATCCATAAGTAACTTGCATGGATAACCTAAAAATACAAAATAATTACTAATAAGTAGTATAACTTGCATGAATAACCTAAAAAGGCACAACAACCTTTTTTGTGATATCGACGAAAACGTATGGAGTTACGTAACGATAATCAGATATCTCTTTTTGATTCATATCCTGGCGATATGAATTCAACATAGATCTTAACTCGCGAGCATAAGCCTGGTTATCAAAACCTATGGACAAAAAAAAATTTAGAATCATTAAAAACGTAGAGAGCATATATATTATTATTAATTTGAGGAGAGCTAGATATATACCCGAAGCAGTAGACGAAACTTCCCAAGTAATCATGACTTTCGATGGATGATCAAAGCTGTACTTAGACGAATACATGGTTAGGTTTGCATGCAAATAGACAAACATGATAAATATTTTCTAAAGAGATCCAAAACGTTAATGCTATTATAAAAACCCTAGCAAAATAAATATGGAACTTTAACAGAGAAACTGTAAATTATGAGACGATTGTTTTAAAACACTCATATTTATACGTGTAAACAACCTAGGGTTTATTTTTTTATGAAAAATACTAAAAGGTAATTCTTGTTCTATATACGATATTATCTTCCCATGAATTTTATAGTTATTAACTATAAAAAATGTAAAGATTCCATTCTAGATAATAACAAAGGAAATTATAACATATTTCCGTTTGCAAAATATTTAAAACACTCATATTTATACGTGTAAACAACTTAGGGTTTATTTTTTTATGAAAAATACTAAAAGGTAATTCTTGTTCTATATACGATATTATCTTCCCATGAATTTTATAGTTATTAACTATAAAAAATGTAAATATTTCATTCTAGATCATAACAAAGTAAATTATGACATATTTTCGTTTCCAAAATATTTAGCAAATAAAAATTATTTCCAAACATTGAATTGTAACAAAATCTAAAAATTAAAAAAATATAACTCCATGACTTGAACCCGTGAGCTTTCACTGAACGGACAAAGCACCTAACCAACACAGCTACCATCTCATTCAGTGTAAATGATATATTGGAAGGTATGTATAATGTTTCTATATTTCCACGTAAAGTTACCAATTGCCAAAACCCTAAAACAAATCGTAAAAAAAAATAGTAAATGAATATAAGCGGAGACAGAAAATATTTATTTATATAGAAAACGATTCCGGGTTTATGTGTTTCCTTATTTATTTGTTCATTATTGATGTGATCAACTATTTCTTTATAATTATCACAAACATGGGCTTGTGCTCACTTTTCTCTAGATCTGATCCACGATTGGTTAAAAAATTGATTTAGAAAGAAAGAAATTTAGAAAAAAAACACAATTAAAGTAGTCTAAGATTCGAACTTGCTACCTATGAGATAAGAATTCGGGTCACTAACCATTGTAGTTTGTGTTATTTTTTTTGTTAACCAATCAGCAGTTAAATATATATTTTTATTGTCGACAAAAAATGGTATTATGTCATATATTTTCTGTGGGCTCTACTCCATGTTTTGTTGTGTATTAATTATGTAATATTTCCTTTTAATCAGATTTTTTTTAATTGCAGAATAATCAACTGATCAATCAGAATAAAGTATTTTCATTAATGGCAGAAATGTAATTTAACACATTCCACCAAAACAACAGAAAAATAATAATAATAAATTTATATCAACCAATCAAAATATAACATCAACTGACCAATCAGAACCTAAGAATTTCATTAATCAAAACGACATCAAAAGCTGTGCATTGAACCACAGCTCAAATCACTTTGCAAATACTATAATAGATATTTTACGAAGTGTATACTTAGACTATTTGTGTATATATTTTTTTGGTACAATATAAAAATTCTATTACTAATTTTCGTTTTCTACAAAGAAAACAAGAAACAAAAAATAGCAAAAATAACAAAAGCAATCTACAACTAATGAACAACCACGACCAAAAACAGCCACCCATCAAACAACCGGATAAGGAAACAAGAGAGCAGTGGAGCGAGTAGCGAACAGTAGGAAGGGAAGCTCCTCTCAACAAAACCTGCAATGTTACCACGAGAATCGGAAACCATGCAGGCCTGTCCTCAAAAACCTAGAACACAATGCCTATAGCTTCACCACGAACTTAGAAAACCTTCTTCATACTGATGAGAAAGCTGTTTTCATACACCACTGGACACTCGCGGGTAGAAATTGGTGTACCTCGCACGCAAGTAAGATAGCAAACGCAAACAGCCACACTAAGTCGAGGCCACCAAAATTCCCCGCTATACGAGTCTACAAGGAACTGATGCAAAGGAGACTCATCCCGTGCAATGCTACCAATACCACAAACCAAATGTATATATCTTAATATGATTGCATTAAATCTACATAAAATGTATGTATTATATGCTTAATTCTTAGGAACATGGAACACGAGATCTTCTAAATCATCCCCAAGCTCTCATCAATCCAATACGATTGACTCTATCACGTGTCTTCAAGAACACGAGATCTTCTAAATGACTTGATTTTTTTTTTTAAAATAACTTGATTTTGTTGTTGAAAGAAAACATATCACCACAAATGGAGGATAATGTAAGAAATCATCAACGAACAAACATGGTTCATGTAAGTAAAAGTCAATTAACACTCCAAAACATAAAAAGAGACAAGAGAAAAAGGAAGTTCCGGGAACATTTGCCAGTGTTCCATGTTTATTTTTCGTCTGAAAGCAAGAAGAATCTCTCATCCTTCCCTTATGTTAAAATTTTTCAAGCAGAATAACACACGTAAAAACCACACAATCAACTTAACAATCGAAATGCATCAAATAACTTATCAATGATGGGTTATTATTTTCAGATGATCTTTTCTTGTGCAAATGACGACGCCAACTGTTTTGGATAACCGCCACGGTTTTTGGACTCTTAAAGGTTTTATTGATGATTGTTCATTAGCTCTTCATGCACAGTTGGCCTTGACAAATTAACCGAGCCGGAAAAATCTAACCAAACTGAATTGGAACGTATCGAATCAAACTGTAACCACCATAAATACTCGAATCAATCTTAGACGATCACATACTGTATATGAAACTAGATAACTACCCGTATATATGCAAATTTAGAATAAGATATTTTATAACCCGTAACAAACTAAATAAAATATAAAAAATAGTAAACAAAATGAGATCGTCCGTGAAGATACATATTAAATAAATTTAGAATTATAAAATTATTTAAACACAAAACAATGAAATTATAATAATTAACACATGACTAATGTAACAATAACTCTTTGCATATGCATTAACCTAACGTGAATAATATGAAAAATATATTTGTAGCTTCTATACTAAAAAGATGAGCAAAAAGATTTTTTTTGTTGTAAAAAATTGTATTTATTGTTTAGTTTAAAGAAGTATAATTTTTTTATTTTTCCTTATATACTAGGGTTTTGTTTTTTATTTTTTTATCTATTGATTTTTTTCTTAATCTAAACATATTTTATCTCTTTTTACTTTTTATGATTAGAAATTCATTATAGAATTTCTTTTTCTAATAAAATTATTTAAAAATATGATTAAAAATTTATTAAACACATGTCAAAATCTGGTCGTTTATCTTGACATGTATCGCGTAAACAAGTTACTAACTTTGAATCATTCGTCTTTATATAACAAGATACTGGAACATTAAGGATAACCAAAATACCTGAGATATTATTATTTATTTAAAATATTAGTTATATTTAGAAGTAAAAACTAAAATACAGTAAAAACTCTATAAATTAATAACATTGGGACTCTTATATTTTATTAATTTAGAGAGTTATCAATTTATAAAGAAATTAATTAAACCAAAACATAAATTTGAGACAAAAAAAATTTATTAATTAATCGAGTTTATTAATTTATCGAATATTAATTTATAGAGTTTCTACTGTACCTAGAATCAATTATAAAATGAATATATTAATTAAGTTTAGACTGAAATAACTGCAATATTCTAAAACTTTTCGTTATACTCTTTCTGTTTTAATATTAGTTATTTTGATGTTTTTAGTTGTTTCACAATTGTTTTCAAAATTTATGCAACTTTTATATTTATGGGAAATTGTGTTACCAATTATATTTTACGATATATTTATGACTGGTTAGATTATTTTTAATTTATTAACTAATACTTTTTAAAAAAGTAATTTTAATAATTTTGGTGCTTTTAACTAAAACAATTTCAATTCTTAAATTGGGATCACGACTCCCCTTTTTTATGCTTAGGACTCTCTTGTCGATCTAGAGTCTTTAGTTTTTAGGAAAGTGGGGCTTTTGGTTGGGTTTTTTCCCCTTAGTTTTTTCGTTAAGAGTGGATATTTACAAAATTTTGGTGAATCTTTGGGAAATCTTGGTGTTTGCAGTAGGGTTTGGCTAGTTTTATTGTGTGTTCTTAAGCGCCGTCATCAAACTTTCAAGAACCCTAAATTGGCTAAACTGAGATTTCGTGTTTTGAAAGTCACCACGGCGTTATGGCGAGCATTGACAATGCGATGATGGCTTTATCCATCGAAGAGGAGGAAGAGGTACCCTTTGTGCTTCCAAACCTTCCGAAGTACTGCTCCAGTGAGAGAAACATTCTGAGCATTATGGGGAGAACTCTGAATCCATCGTGTCAGAATATGGCGGATTTAATCTTGGATATGCCAAGGAAGTGGCAGGTTTACGATAGGGTTCGAGGGGTGGCCCTATCAAGTGAACGATTCCAGTTCATCTTCAAGTACGAGCATGATCTGGAGGAGGTTCTCAAAAAGCGTGTATGGACTTTCAATGAATGGTCTATCATTATTGATCAATGGGTGGAGAAACCACCGGATGATTATTTGAAGTTTATGCCGGTGTAGATTCAAATCCGGAATATCCCGGTTAACTACTATACCGAGGCCTCGATCTATGACTTGGGAAGTATCATTGGGGAGGTTAAAGAGATGGCTTTTGATCCAAACAAGCCACAGAGCAAAGATTACGTGCGCGTCAAGGTGAATTTTGATGTTTCGAGACCTGTGCGCAGATCAAAGGAAGTGATCCTTCCAACTGGGGAGACTACGACAATTTGGTACGACTTCGAGCGAATCCAGAAAAGATGTTATAATTGTCAACGTTTAACTCATGAGAAGGATAAGTGTCCTATACTTATTAAGATGAGGAAGGAGAAAACAGAGGCGAGAAGAAGGAATATTGTTTTAGAAAAAAAGAAGTTGGAGCCAATCATTAAGGAAGCTGATCCCCTCTTTGGTGTACTAACAGAGGAACAAGTGGGTAATGATCCCAATTCAGGAAGACCAAAGATCCACCCGGAGGTGTTGCAGGAGATGCGCTTATACTTGCTGTCAGCTGAGGGGCCAGAAAGGAAGATCAGAGAGGAGAAAATAAAGAAGACGTTAATGGATCTCAAGCAGGACTCGAGGAACCAGAATATGGTGTTAAGACTGGAGCCTGGACCGATTTTGACTTCGTCTTTGGATAAGGAAAAAGGGCCTATTTATGAAGGTGAATCAAAGGACAAACTCCCTGAAGACAATGAGAAAATCAGTGGTTCAAACAAGGGTAGATCAGAGGAGAGGGGAGAGAAGTTGATGTCATCAGCCATAAATGCCGGTTTAGCGATGATACGGGGTAATGTGGCTTTGGCTGTGGCTTCGGAGAGAGCTGCAGGTAGTTTAGAATCGCAGTCGTCTGGTTTCCAATCGTGCTCTGGGGGTTTTGAGTTTGGGTCCTCTGAAGGGAGTTCTTCTGAAAAAAGGGTAAGGCGTTACCAACCGAGAAAAAAGAATGCAGCCCCAAGGAAAAGCTTACAAAGCAGATCGAAAGCAAAGATCAATGATATAGCTGAGAAGAATGGAGATGTAAGTCTGGGTGTATCCCCTCAGAAAAGAAAAGCTGATGGAGTTGAGAAGGTGGTGGCAGAAAGCAGGTCCAAAATCGCAAGGCGTAACAACTTGGAGGCGGTCTCGAATGAGGGACTGCCGTCGGCCCAATGAGCTTTATGAGCTGGAATTGTCAAGGCTTGGGCCGGACACAAGACTTGACAATTCCCCATCTCAAGGAGATGCGTCAAAAACATTTCCCTGAGCTTTTGTTCTTAATGGAAACGAAGAAATGTAGAGATGGTGTGGTTGATCTTCAAGCATGGTTAGGGTATGAACGGGTGTTTACGGTGGATCCTATTGGGTGGAGTGGTGGTTTAGCTCTTTTTACAAAGCACAATGTGATGGTGGAAGTGAAGTTTGCTGATAAACATCTCATTGATTGCTTTGTGCAATTCGGAGCTTTTGAGTTTTTTATTTCCTTTGTTTACGGTGACCCGGAGGTTAAAGGACGTGCTCACGTGTGGGAAAGACTTATGCGGATTGGTGTCCAGAGGAAGGAGGCTTGGTGTATGGTGGGTGACTTTAATGAGATTTTGCATAATGGTGAGAAGATTGGAGGCCCTAAAAGAAGTGATGCGTCTTTTAAACCTTTTGCTGAGATGTTGCAAGTGTGTGAGATGACTGAACTATTGGGAGCTGGAGATGGGTTTACATGGGCGGGTGTAAGACATAAACACTGGGTTCAAAGCAAGTTAGATCGGAGTTTTGGTAACAAACAATGGAGACAGGCCTTCCCCCAATCAAACCAAGTTCTTTTTGGAAAAGCTGGGTTCAGATCACAGACCTGTTCTGGTGAATTTGTTGAATAGTCAGCGTGCGTCCCACGGTTCTTTTCGCTTTGATAAGAGACTAATCGGGAAGCCTTTAGTGCTGGAGGCTATTCGATCGGCTTGGTTAGGGAATCATCAAACGACACCTCTCAGTTTGATGGACCGTATGGGTGCTTGCCGGAAAGCTCTGAGCAGATGGAAAAGAGAGAATCAGAACAATTCCATGGATAGAATAATGAAATTACGACATGAACTGGAGGTAGAAGAGTCGGCCTTATACCTGAGAATGAACTATCGCCAAGAACTGAAAGCGGAAATAGCAAAAGCATATAGAGAGGAGGAAAAGTTTTGGCAACAAAAATACAGAGAGAAATGGGTGCAGCTAGGTGACAAAAACACAAAGTTTTTTCATGCATCGGTTAAGGCTCAGAGGAACAGAAATAAGCTGGAATTTTTGGTTGATGACCAGGGGATGAAAGCGACTTCGACGGGCTCGATGGGGGCGGTTGCAGGGAAATACTTTCAAGATCTGTTTACATCATCAAGACAAAATAATATCGATGGTTTTTTCAATGGTTTTCCTTCAAGGGTAACATATCGTATGAATGCAGCTCTCATTAAATCAGTATCAATCTCTGAGGTTAAAGAAGCTGTTTTCTCTATTAAGGCGGGTAGTGCACCAGGAGTGGATGGAATGAATGGTCTCTTTTTTCAACATTATTGGGAGATTCTTGGTCCACAAGTAACGAAGGAGGTGATGGATTTTTTCGAAACAGGGAGGTTTCCATTAGAATGGAATTACACTCAGCTATGTCTCCTCCCTAAAGTGAATAAACCGTCTAAGATGGTGGACCTGCGACCAATAAGCCTCTGTACGGTCTTATACAAAATCGTGTCAAAGATTTTGGTTAAGAGATTGCAGCCGTGGCTTCCTGATATTGTATCACCTACTCAGTCGGCCTTTGTTTCAGATAGACTGATTACAGACAATATCATCATTGCCCATGAAATGATTCACGCTCTTCGAAGCCACCCTCGTATATCCTGTGAAAACATGGCCGTCAAAATTGACATGTCTAAAGCCTATGATCCCATTGAGTGGGATTATCTAGAGTCTCTGCTTCACGGTTTGGGGTTTCACGAAAAGATGGTATCGTGGATCATGTTCTGTGTTAGATCGGTAACTTATACGATGCTCATCAATGGAGAAGCACATGGCATGATCAAACCGGGAAGAGGGCTACGTCAGGGTGACCCTCTTTCCCCTTTTCTCTTTGATCTGTGCACAGAAGGATTCTCTCATCTTATGCGTAAAGCCGAACAGAGTGGAAAGATCAGTGGAATTGGTTTCTCAGAAGAGGGCCCAGAAATTCACCATTTATTATTTGCTGATGACTGTCTGATTCTATGCAAAGCTGATGAAGCTCACTCTGATGAGTTATACGCAATTCTTAAAGAGTATGAGCGAACATCAGGTCAAGTGATTAATTTCAACAAATCGGCAATCACTTTTGGCGCGTCTATAGATGAAGATACCAAAGCGAAAATCAAGGAAAGGTTGGGCATTGATAGTGAAGGGGGAGCTGGTAAACCCTAAATCGGCAATCACTTTTGGCGCGTCTATAGATGAAGATACCAAAGCGAAAATCAAGGAAAGGTTTGCCAGAGTGTTTCAGTGGGTCAAAGGTGGACATGTTGAACTATATTCAGGAGAAGATGAAGTCAAGGTTTCATGGATGGTATGGGCGTTTTTTATCTCAAGGAGGGAAAGAAATTCTTCTTAAATCTGTGGCAATGTCCATGCCAGTCTATGCGATGTCAGTCTTTAAATTGCCAAAGGTCACTTGTCAAAATCTAACAAGTGCAATGTCAAACTTCTGGTGGAATGCACAAGAGGATAAAAGAAAGATCCACTGGGTGTCTTGGGAGAAGATGTGCTTAGAAAAGGAGCTAGGAGGGCTCGGTTTCAGGGATATTGAACTCTTCAATCAGGCTTTACTTGCTAAGCAAGCGTGGAGACTCATATCGTTGCCAGATAGTTTATGTTCAAGGGTGCTTAAAAGTAGATATTACAGAAACTCGGAGCTGATGCAGGCTGGGGTGGGAAGCAGGCCATCTTTCGCATGGAGAAGCATTTTGCATGGAATAGCTCTGCTTGAAAAAGGTTTAAAAAAGTCGGTGGGATCAGGAGACACAATTAACGTATGGCTTGACCGATGGATTTTTGATGATTTCCCCCGAGCTCCTTTTAGAAGACAACTGTTCTGGGATTTAAACTTGATGGTGGGGGATCTCATCGATCCTCAAACTCGAACCTGGGACAGAGGAAAACTCAACGAGGTGATTGTGCCTGAAGATGTTGACAGAATTCTGCAACAAAAGCCAGCTGTTGGAAAGCAAGATAGTTTCGAATGGGTATATAATAAAAGTGGGGAATATTCGGAGAAATCAGGGTATTGGTTAGGGAGAAAACTAAGCCAATCGGAAGTTCGAACAGAGGCAATGGTATTCCCATCCCTGAATCCGCTCAAAGCAAAGGTGTGGCAGGTAAAAACCACATCGAAAATCCAAGTTTTTATGTGGAAGGCGCTGAGTGATGCTTTGCCGGTTGCGGATGGATTGAAAACCAGAGGATTAGTGGTGGATGAGGTGTGCCAGATTTGCGGTGGAAATGGCGAATCAATTAATCATGTCCTCTTTGATTGTACTGTGGCAAGACAAGTTTGGGCGCAGACAAATTTTCCCTTTCCAGGTGAAGGCTTTCATACGAGTTCAGTCTTTGTGAATTTCTCATACTTGCTCCAATGCCAAAAAGACCAACGGATTCCGGTGGAGATTAGGAGGAGCTTTCCATGGATCGTATGGCAACTTTGGAAAAATCGCAATGCTTATCTGTTCGAAGGGAAGCATTATACAGCCACACAAACAGCAGAGAAAGTGTGAGATGATTCGAATCACTGGTTTATGGTGCAAGAGAGACACGAGTTGGAAAGAGAGGAAAGTCTCTCTGGTGGTCCCGACAAGAACCAGAGATGGAGTCCTCCTGATTTGGGTTATATAAAATGTAACATAGCGGTGGCGTGGTCAAGACGAAAACATCTCTGTGGTGCGGCGTGGATAGTTCGTAATGCCGATGGGAATGTGCTCCTACATAGCCGGAGAGCTTTCGGAAATGTCGAGAATGTACGAGAGGCAAAGGCAATTAGTCATCTGTGGGCAATTGAAAGCATGTGTAGTCATCGGCTTGAGAAAGTTTTGTTTGCAACGGAAGCAACGGATATAGCGGATGCCATACAACGCCCTCAAGCGTGGCCGGCATTCAGAGGCCAGGTTGCAGAGCTTACTGAAGCCTTACAAGGGATTGTGGAATGGAAGTGGGTAAAGGAGAGCCATATGAACAACTTACCGGCTTTCAAGATGGTTAGGAGTGTCGTAACGGAAGATAGAATCCAATCATATGTGGCTCAGGGTGAACCGGTATGGCTACACGATCTTTTGCAGGCTGAGAAACCGAACACTGTTGTGTGAGGATGCTCTTTTAATAAACTAAAGTTTTTGGAAAGCCGAACACTGTTGTGTGTGAGGTCTGGTTCGGATGTAATAAAGTACTACTTGGTTTCCTTTTGAATTGGATTTCAATAAAAGTTTTCAGTGTTAAAAAAAAAAAAACTAAAACAATTTATATGTATTTTGAAAATTGTCTAGTACGAAAAAAAAGTACACCCGAAATCTGAAAGAAAAAAAAAATCAAACCCGAATGCTCAGGTCTATTGCACAATTAATATGAAATGTCTTGTTAAACTTAGGGCATCTCCATCGCGGGTTCATAGCAGGTTTATAAGTGGGCCTGTGCGCTTTTTTGTGTTAAAATTAATTAAAATCGGGCCATTTCCAGTGATACGGTATGACTGCAGTGATACTGATGATCCTGTATCATCCGAGTATCATCGAATACGTGGCGTGCTATGATTGGTGCGTGGGTTCAGGGATGAACCCCGAATTACAGGTTCAGGATGGAGCTCACTTTTCGATTCAGGTTCTTCACTGTTTCGAAAAAAAAAATTATTAAACAATTGCTATGATACCCACTTTGAAGATCAGCAATGGAGATGGCCTTATAGAGGCTTATAAAAAATTAGTACATTTATAATTGAGGCCCAGCACAACTATAAGACACCTTAATTACGTCAATGTCTTCACTAGAGGAAAGGAAGTCAACAACTACTACGATGTAGAAGAAGAAAGAGCCGTCTCTGTTGCCATTCTGGAGAAGCAGTCGACCCCAAATCACTTCCAGATGATTTGCTATTGAACTGCTTCGCACGCATCTCTAGATTGTAC